CCGTCTAACAGCAGTGCCGGGCTGCCAGCTCTACCGCAAGCCCATCCGATCCGAACCAGCCGACTACACAGATTGACCAGCTCCGCCGAACCGTGCCGCCCTGTGGCACTTTGCAGCAGCTCGGCGGCACACAACACACACAGATGGGCGGGCTGTTTGGATTCACTCACGTCCCTGCACGGCGCACACCGAATGGTCTCACTGCGGTCTGCAGGGGGCAGGCAGGGGAGGCGCGTGTCGCCACCCGCCGCTATGTTGACGGAACTGATCTGTCCTGGGACCAGGCGGACTTCCATCGGTCCTCTCGGGGCGTGTTGTGTATCCGCTCACCGAACGCTGCAGTGTGACGTGTTGCTGCTATAGAAGGGGTGAGGGAGAGAAAGAGAGAGAGAGAGAGAGAGAGAGAGAGAGAGAGAGAGAGAGAGAGAGAGAGAGAGAGGGAGAGAGAGGACTGCAAAGGTACCTCTAATAGGTAATAATTCAATTTGTACAGACCATGAAAAAAACATTCGCAACTGAAATCATTTATCAACCTGAGCTGTGCTTAGAAACTTCTACGAGTGCCATACCATTTAAGGATGTATGATAGACGAAATAAGAGGGTTGCATATCGGTATGACACATTTTCACGTGACCAGAGAGTCAAGTCGAGCCACATATCTAGCGCCTCGCTCTGCAACTGTATCCAAGGAGGGCGAAAACATATCTCCCAAATGGACAGTTGCAATGCATGTAAACGAGACGAAATTCAATCTCAGAACAGAAAACGGATGCAGATAAAAATGACACTCCTTTTCACTCGAGAATATGTCTATTGCTCATACCAAGTGTATGCCAGTGCTCGCAACGCCAGTGTTCGCGACATCCGGCACACCAGGGCATGTAAACCAGGTAGAGTGATCTGGTTTACAAAAAGCGACAGCGATAAAGCGCTTGTAGGCTAAATTTGGCTAAAATAACCTCAGGCTGCTATAACATGGTGATATTAGTGTGAGTACCTACCTATTAAATCGTATATCTTCGTAATACTGCGGGCAAAGGTATGAATTTGAGCTGATTGCCACTTGGCAGCAGAATAAATCGAGGTATTTTAGAAGGGATAAAAGCATTTACTATAGACTGGCCTAATGACATCCAAATGAGCCTTCACTGCCCTCCTGAGCTGCTGCACATTAGCTGGATCTATCTGCCCCCTCCAAATCGTCACAGACCAATAAACCAATGAGCGTCGATTTTAGCTTGCTCTGATTGGTCGCGGAAACACCAACAGTTACAGATGACGCATAAAATACTCAAGGTCTCCTAAAGTTGCTTGCGAAGTGTCGCCATTTTCAGTAATGTTAGAAATGGCCTGAGCACAATCTCCTGCTTGTGGCTATGCTACAGGTTAACCCGCGCACCGACGGGGGGCGGATATCCGCCCCCCCCTGAGGTTTTTCGCGAATAGCGGGAAAACCGCGGCGCGTAGCGCCGCGAAATTTGGTATGACTATTCCCTTATCAATTTTACACATGGTGTGCAAGTTTGAACCTCCTACCTTTCAAGGTCAGGGGCCGTATTCACGTCGATCATTTTCGTAAGAATTTTCTTACGCACGACCTACTTCTTACGAAAATTTGGTATTCACGTCGACAGCAAAAATATCTTACGAATAAAAAAATTCTCGTAGACAGTTTGCGATTCACGTCGACCTTTTCTTAAGAATTCTCGTAAGAATGTCGTAAGTGCGATTCACGTCGTGTCATCTTAAGAATTTCTTAAGTTTTTCGTAAGAACATAATGTTAACGGTATGGTGGACTTACGAATACTCACCGAGCTGTCGTAAACTGACGCAACGATAATTCAGTGCAGTAGGCTAAGACTAAAATGACGAATTATTTTAAGAATTGACACTAATGGTTGTCTGGACTAAGAATGGCTGTTATTATTGAGCAAAATTATTACCAGCGAGCGACTGAAGCGAAGTCTTTTCAATAAAACGGGAAAATATCAGTATGAGCGGCCCGGTCCGGCCTGTAATGCTTTTGGAGGCCTATATCGCATCAACCGCTGGACTGATTGACTTGTGGTCTTTTTGCTGGGCCGCCCCATCCCTTCTAACCCGCAATTTACTATCTTGATGCATCTAACTGACCATCGTGGCACGTGCCACGTGAGAAGTCAAGGGCGTCCAAGCTGTTTTGCAGAAGTAGCGCTTTTGAGACTACCAATTTCTCAAAGTGGGCTTATATCTCAGCAACCACTGCATTAGGACGTTTGACTTGCGGTAATTTTTTTAGGGTAGCTGCAGCCCTTCTACTAAACATCGGGTACTCTTGATTCATGTGTGATGTGAGTGACCACCCGCTGCACGTGCAAAGTACAGACAGGTGTCACGTTTGTTCTTATTACAATAACTCGGCAATTACCGGCCAGATTGTGTTGAAACTTGGCATGTGGGTAGGCACCTACCAGGAAATGCGTTGTCATATGTCACGGTTGAGGTGCTACTGCACGTGCGCACGAGCAGGGGTCGCTTCCAGATGTCGAGAACGCCTGGACCGTTTGCACTCAAACTTGGCACACGGTTATAGGAACCGGTGCGAAGGGTGCCGGGCAAAATCCAGTTTGAACCATTTTACACGTGCGCACGTGCAGGGTGCCGCTTCTACATCTCAAGAACAGCTGGGCTGATTGCGCTCAAGTTTGGTCAGCGGCCAAGCCGATCAGCGGCCAAAAGGCTGGGGGGTCTTACGGACCCCCCAGTGGTGTAACTTTCTATATGTATGGGGGTACAGGTGCTTCCCCATCCACTAAAAGTGCATGTCCATCAATGTCAAGAAATAAGGCACCTCATACAGAAGTTGGGCTTGCCCAGTAGAAGAGGGGCGCCCCCAACACTTAACAGTGGCGCATTTTTGGAACAGTTGGAAGTCCTTCGCACTTCTGTACAGTGCATGTGTGGGGGGCTCACTCGCGCGCTGGCTCGTTTGTCGCCCCAAAAGGCGTCTTGCTGGTTTGACTAAAATGAAATGCACAAATGCATGGATAGTTGTAGAAAAACACGGAACAAATAGTGCATGGACGCGTTTCGATTATTAAATCATCAGCATGACATAACCACAAAGAAAACAAGATATCTTGTTTTCTTTGTGGGTATGTCATGCTGATGAAGATTCAATAATCGAAACGCACCCATGCACTATTTGCTCCGTGTTTTTCTACTTGTCTCTATCAATTATATACAATGGATAGTTGTGTAAATCCCTACAAGGAGGATCCCTAAATCTCAATGATTAAGGTCAATGCACCAAATTGGTAATATTACTAAGTGCTCGAGCGAGGAACATATTGAATATAATTTGTTATCACGTTGGTTTGATAAAGGCCAGTGGCCGAAAGCTCACCGTTTTTTAAAATATATTATTCGGCTTTTTACATTTTTGATGTCGAGGAAAAGGTCAACTTCTTTTATTTATCTAATTATATTCAATGCACCAAACGCTTCTTACGAATTTCTTAAGATATTCCTACGAATTTTGACGTGAATACCGATTTTTGTAGATATCCAGACATTTCGTAAGAAAAAAACTTAAGAAGTGTCGACATGAATACCAAATTATACTTACGAAAGAAAATTGACTTACGAAGTCGACGTGAATACGGCCCCAGGTCACCAGGTCACTTTGAATGACCCAACCTCAAGTCACTTTTTTGCAACTTTGTCACCGTGCCAGAGCTACAGTAGATGTCGGAGGCCTTTGAAAGTCGCAGGATGTTATTAGGTCATTAGTAGCTACAATTTGTATATCTCGGAATTTTGATATCGGTGACCTAAGGTCAGGTCAATTTCGCGACCTCCCCATTATAAGTCAATGGGGGAAAAATCAACTCCCTGTTTTTACCACTAAAACGGGTCGGAATGGCCCCATATACCATACGTGACTTCATATACGATCAACCTTCACTACCTTGAGGTCTGTTTTGCTGTTGGGCAGCTGTGAGGTCATGTGACGTCATCAAAGGTCACCAAAGGTTTTTGGCCAATAACTCCGTACAGGAACAAGATACAGACGCGTGGATGGTCTCATTGTGTTCAGCTCATCAAGACGCATCGAATGATATACATGATGACCTCGAGGTCACGTGACCTGAGGTCAACCTTTGACCTTGACCGTTCGAGGTCAACATATATATCATTCGATGCGGATTGACGAGAGGATCACGATGATGCCCTTCGTTTGTTCCTATCTTGACTAATTCGAAAGTTATTCGAGAAAAACTCTCCATATTTAGCGCCGCCATTTTGACTTTTTTCGACCCCTGTGACGTCATCTTTGACCTGACCTGAAAATGACCTTAGTAAAAATTGTAGATCTTGACCGTGCGTATCCGATGCCGTTTACCGCTTGTCGCTATCTTGCTTCGTTCTCGAGATCTCAGGGGGGGACGGTCATCCGCCCCCCCCCCCGTCGGTACTAAGTTGGCGCAGACCCCCGTCGGTGCGCGGGTTAAATCAAGCTCTAGGCTCGACCCCGAACAAAATCAATGACTCGTGAGGCAGAATTAAACTGAAGTTCAATGTCTGGCTCATGGCTGTTTGACATTCTGAAAACACCACCGCGTCGGCGGAACACTGCTTCACTCTAAGAAATCGTACAGATAGGCTATTCTTCATGAGAGCTTGATTTCTTGTCATAAACCGATCCAAAGAACTTACTCAATTCTTACCCTTGAGCTCACAAACTTTGTGTCTTACGAGCAATATAGGCCAGGGTGTCATTGAGCTTGTTCACAGAATTTTTTAGTATCGTAAATCAGACCACTGCATCGGCACAGCAACCCTAACATCCGTAAGAAGAATGACTCGAGACGAACGCTTCGAAAAAGAGAAATGTTCACCAGCTCAACCACCAGGATAATGCTATTCTTCCACCACCACTGACATTAAATTTCTCCGGTATGCCAGAATCTCCTAATCAGATTTACTAATCACCATTATCTGGCGCTTTGTTTTCAGGCGCGCTGGTGCCTGCACTGGCGGTTTTGGGCGGCAGAGCGAGTCTTCCGTGCAGTCTGACCTCAGAGAAGCCTGGCGACCGGCCGGAGCTCGTACTCTGGTACAGGGATAACTCCGGCGCGCCCATTTACAGGTGGGAATCGCTGTGCTGGAACGCTGATGATACACGTATCTATGAGAGCAGAATATAGGATTTGACATATGTGAAATATTGGTTAAATCTATGCCTACCTATTCATTATCAATCACTCCTGGAATATGAGGTTGCAAATAGCATATGCTCATTTTCAAGCTGTAATCGGTAGGGAAACAGCGAGACGATTGAAGCTGGAGTAGCTAGTAATTAAAAATGGCAGACATTACTGTCTGGTTAACGAAACCCTACTGATAAATTCATTATTTGCGAAGAATGTATTAATGTACCTAACAATAATGTATTGTTTCAGTGGCACAATTGACTTCCTCTAAAGCAGCGATGAAGCCTTATGACGGCATCTATTTTATATTGCAGCTATGACGCGCGTCAGGGTTCACTTGGTGGCGGAGTCCAATGGAAGGACAGCTTTATCCTGGCCAGCCGGAACGCCGAGTTTCTGGTGAACACGTCTCCGCCGGTGCTGGCCATCGATGACGTCAGAGAGGCCGACGCTGGGGAGTACCGATGTCGGGTGGACTTCAAACTGACGCCCACCAAGTACCACCGCGTCAACCTCACCATAATCGGTAGGTGGGAGTTGCTGATGGGTAGCTTCATAAATTTGGTGTGCTTGGGTTCAGAGGAATGCTCTGAAATTTTTAGATTGTGACGAGATGATACACACTAAGCATGTACACTAATGTACAGTCCTAAGCAGACTGCGTGGTAGGTATTCTTTTTTCGACAAAACCAGTAATAACTCAAAGACTATGTTGTCAGTCGGTCGGAACTCACTGAAAATAGAGGCGCCATGCTCTACTCCTTTGATTGGGTATATCACTAAACAAAGTATATGCTTTGTGGCTTGTGTGGCAACAAAATGCAAAAGTTTTTTATATAGATTTAGATCGAATGTTTGAATGGACGGTTTGACAGAGCCGGAGCCCACGCTAAGCAGAGCTTGTTGCGTAGATCCCGACCACTACCGTCCGATCGCGCAATTCCGGGTATCGGGAGAATTTAGATGCCAAAGTTTAACGTGCCCTTCAGAGCCGGGCACGGCCTGTCCCACTCAACTGACTTCAACTGGCTGCGGCTGCTCCCACCAACCGCAGACCATCCCCGTCAGGAGTCTCAATCGAGCGCCGGAGCGTCTCGAACCCGGGCTCTCACTACCGGGAGTCTAATGCTCTACCAACTGAGCTACGGGAATAAACTTTTGGGTTTTGCTGCCAAACTGGGTGGAAAATGAATGCGATGGTAATGCCAATCTAAGGTGCGGAGTCTCGCGCATCTTGCTGTTATGATTTCCGAGCGACCGATAGCATAGTATCCGCGTTATTCTCGGTTTTGTCGAAGAAAGAATACCTACCACGCAGTTTGCAGAAGGCTGTACATATGGTAATTAGTTATGTATCTCCTTGACATGTTCCAAACTGGCTTCCAAACAACAGCCTCCCAATTATCAATAATTCATTATTGCTGGAATATTTCCGCTTATGATAGGTGGCTGCCAGAGTGGTTACGATTGTTCCCTCATTGTTGACCTTATTTTTTCATCGTTGTCTAGCATTATGTGCTGCAAGTAAAGGTTCGATACTAACCGTAAGCTGGTTTGTAGCAAGCTAAGAACTGTAGCCAACTTCAAGCCATGTTTCTAAATCTTCTGAAAATAGATCAGCAAGGACGTCTCTGAAACCCTCACCCATTTCGAATCTTTTTACAACTGTTCCATTTTTTATATAAATCTTTGTAGTGCCACATCCTTGGCCCAAAACAATGCTGCTTTGAGGACACTTGACAGAACTTCACTTTTGATCAAAGCGAGCGGAAAGCAAACAATGAATGGCCCGAGGAACTTGGCGCTGATTCAGTGCTTATCTGGTTCCAACTTTAATCGGTGATTTTGTATGCTAAGGACCGCTGTGCTGTAGTCGATTTTGTTGGGAAGATTTTGTTGGGAAGGTCACTAAGTTGATTCCAGGTTCGATCCTCTAAAAATCAGCTATTGGCCATTTGAAGTAGGACAGTCACTAAGTTTATTCCAGGCTCCTTCCTCTCAAAAACCAGCTATTGGTCATTTGAGACAGTACAGTCTTTTATCATCTGCCGAAATGCTGAGTGGGGAACTTATGTCAAGTACAAAACTTTTATAAGTCCATTTTATTTCAAAAGGCGCACGGCCCGAAAATCGATTTTAGAATTATCACGTGCAAAGTGATGGTTTTGACAGAATTCAACGAACACCGGCTTGGCACGTTTCGAAATCAGACTGGTCGGCTGGTCTCTGATTTGCGATAGTTTTGAGAGAAGTATATACATACGTCTCATAATGAGGAACTGTGAATCGAAAATGCTTCCACACGGGGTCTAGCCATAGGCACTAAACAAATGATTAAGATGATTACGTGGATGACTTGTTTGCAGACCTACAAAAGTAACACACGGATTGGCATTTTTTTACGTTTATTTCTGTTGAGTACAAAAAGAAACATGAGCCAGCATATCTGCCGATCTAGTACAATGTTGATCGATCGATTCCTGCATTGGGAAGAAGTCGGGTATGCGCCTACTAAATCTGGAAAGACTCATAAAAAGACTACTGAAGTTTGTACGTAGCATGCGAGAACACAATGTAAGACAACAATATGGAACGTCACCAGCTTCAGCAGCTAACAATGACATGATGAGTGAGCCTGCCGTTCAGAATTCTGGCGCCCGACAGAGCCTTGTAGCAAAAAATATTGTTCTGTCTTGATTATTTAAGGATTTGCCGCTTGTTATTTCTCAAGTGATGGCCTGGCTGTGAAATCAAGGTTAATCTAGGAGTGACGTTAGATTAGCATGCAAATTCAACAGAATGGCTCAACCGCTCAAATATATGAATTTACTAACATTCTGCAATATGACACGATTTATAAGCTAAATTGAACAACTTGCTCCGTTGCACTGTGCTTATCTTTCAAAAATGGCCGAGAAATTCATCTCAGCTTGCGTTATTTTCTAGCGTCTCGCACGTGCCAACTCCAAAATAATGCTTCGGGCCATGAGCCTTTTGAAAAAAAATGGACTTCGGCCTCGTTCAAAAATTCAGTAAGGACCTCGGTCTTGAAAATTTATTTATATAGTTACGCGTACCAGAGATATGTATTCAGTATAAAAAATTGATACAGGAATGATAGGTACAGTCTGCAATACAGGAATATCCCTCTTTCTCTCTCTCTCTCTCTCTCTCTCTCTCTCTCTCTCTCTCTCTCTCTCTCTCTCTCTCTCTCTCTCTCTCTCTCTCTCTCTCTCTCTCTCTCTCTATCTCTCTCTCCCTCTCTCTCTCTCTCTCTCTCTCGACTACAATGTTCCGTATCATTCGTCCGTCGCTTTGTTATAATATAGGCCGATGTCATTATGTTTCGACCAGAGCATTCTTCAAGTTTTCTTTCTAAGCAGTTGTTATATTTTCCCTTTTGGTTTGCTTTTAAGTATTTTATTTTTTCACATTAATACTATCCTTTCTCTTTTCTTTATTTATCCTCTTCTTTTTTCCTTCTTGTCCTTCCTTCCTTCTATGATTTCTCATTCGATTCATCATTGCCCAGTGATTTTATTGACTTGTTTTGCCATCTCTTTCTTCTGTCTTTCCATTCCTTTGCATTTCGAGGTTTGCATTCCAGTCCCTTACCTGGCCGTCCAAGGGCACACTTCACACAGCTGACAAGAAAAAAACCAGCAGCCTTCTAGCAGTCCGGCCGGCTGGTCCTTTTTCTTCCATGCCCGCGTCATTTGGCACTGTAGTGTAGCACCGCTCTTTTGTTGTCGTCGATGGAGCCAGCGATTACCGGCATCGCATTGCCAATGCAAACGCACCTCTCTGTATGCGCCCTGGCCGGCGTCAAATCATCGGTGACGGCACCGTCTCGCCGGCGTCTGACGTCCGGTGACGCGGCGTGTCGGCAAATGTGGCGCGTCGACGGCGACGGGCGGCGCAACGGAGCCCGTGGAGGAGAGCGACGGCCGGCCGCTGCCAGAGAGTCGAGAAAAAACGGAACTGGCCCGAGAAAATATCTGCCAGAGTGGCCGTTTGGCCGGAGAACGGTAGACTGGTGGAAAATGGAGAATGGAAAGTGGAGAATGGAAAATGAATAAGGAGGATTACTGAAGTGGCATTGGCGTTTCATTATACTTGATATTACACGTACGATATTGTGAGCATGTTTGATGTGGAGCAGTATATGGCTGAGCCTGAACATACATTGGAGTCCCGAGGCAGTAATGCTAATTCGCACATGTCATTCGAACGAAGCTCTATTACACACTGAATAAATGTATCTTGGACAGGACGCATTCACCTTGACCTATATCGTACAGGTTTTTAGGCAAATGGAGGATGACGTCCGTCGTTATGGCGTCATGGCAATCCCTACCCCACCTCAGCCCCCGTTTATATATCCACCGTGTCTATGGAAACCCCACGCACAACATAGCTCGATAGGCTGAGTTCACCACTCCCAACATTCCTAGCCACTTAATATCACCATCTGTCGGAAACGCTGCGTCCCATTGCCCCCTACTCCTTACAGCCCGCCTTCCTAAATTAAAATTGCTGCTCAGATCATCTGTATCCTTTTTCTCGTAAAACACATATTAGCTCAAAGGAATGTCTCCACTGTTGAAATGCGCCATGATAAGCGTTTGCAGCCGCTGCCTGTTTTGCGCCACTGCTGCAACGTGTTTATCGAATGACTGACTATCAAAGGGGGCTTACCGGAATGTACTGACGCCATTGATCATTGATTAATTATGGATGATGACAGAACGATCGGAACGATCTGTTGGTCGATTTGATATGGTCAGACGTGACAAATCATCTAAGCTGTTTGTAAATTTTCCTGTTATTTCTGCATTTGTTTCCGCATGTCGTACATAAAATGTTTTTGTTTAGTTTTGTCTCTTAGTGGTGGCGTAAGCAAAGCAAAGTCGGGATATCAACGTGTGTCTTGTTTCTCTGACTTCGGTTTTGCTCATTTCCACAGAGAGCCTTTTTAAGCTTGGTTGTTTCTTCTTTTATCGTGATTGTTTTCTGAAAAGTGGCCTCACAAACTTTGTAACGCACAGCTTCAGAAGTTTCTGTAAGCGAACCGTCTTTTTCGCTCGATTACTTGGAAAATGTTTGTACGTAGATGTATTGCTTTTAAATCGGAGAGACAAAACAAATTTGGGACGAGTAAAGCACAAACAAGACAAAAATTAAATGAAATTTTATCATCGTGGCAAACAACGCGGTAGGAGGCAACGCCCTCACTGGAGTTCTATAGCTATATAAACACCTACCGTTTGTTTTTCAGTGCCGCCGACCCAGCCAGTGATATCGTTTCCAAATGGCGATATTGTCGGTGAGGAGCTGGGACCTCTAACGGAAGGTGACCGCCTGAAACTCAGCTGTGAGACGCGGGGAGGTGAGAGAACGCACCGCGATAGCGCACTTGCGCTGGTTATGGACCAATGCCGTGCAGAATTGCTGGTTGCTAGGATGTAAATGTTGGCAAAACATCATTTGGTCATTTGAACTTTTTATTGCTGCCAAGGCTTCCGTATCCTAAGTAGGTGGCACCGAGTTCGCGGCCGGAGCTACCTGCCGCCATCTACCTGCGATACGTTAAACTTTTCATTCAAATTATTACCGACGAACCAAGCGCGGTCAGGTCGAGTGGTGGGTCCGTGGTGTCACTCGCAACAAGCACTGCTTAGTGGTGCCCTCGGGCCCACGGCCACCCGTTCATCCACTTGGACAAAATGTATTGAAAATGAAGTAAAAGTAAAAATGTTAAAAACCTAATGTAACCACAAATTTAAGATAAGCAGGAAAGATTTGCAATTTTTTTGTAGCACCATTCGGTCACAATTATGAATCCGCAGGTCGTCCGTCGCCGTCCCTCTCGTGGTGGCGCGGCCCGACGCTGCTGAGCAATGCGCACGTGGTGACATCTAGTGGCGTGCTGCGCAGTGTGCTCCACCTGCCTGCCATCTCTCGGTCGGACGTCGACCGGACCCTGACCTGCCACGCCACCAACAACAACATCAGCAAGCCGCTCTCCAGCAGCGTCCTACTCAAAACCTATTGTGAGTTACGGCATTGTCAATTTGTGAATTTTTTTTTCCAAATATCTACGTAGCTGTTGTTCGTGACTGATAAGGATGTTTTATTTTTTCTCTCAATCTTTCAAACTCTTTAAAAGGATTTGTACCTATCCATCTTCACTCGGATCTCTGCTTCACCTCAATATATCGCCAGTTGGCCCTGAAGGGGTCTCATGAGACCAAAGGCACTAACCCTCCAAAAAGTGTTTTGAAGACCAAACCAAAATTTGCATAAGCATTTGTAGTAACTTGGCTAATCAGTTTTATAATTTTGTGATTTTTGCATCCATGGTGTATTAACCCTCGCCCGCACATGGGGGGGGGGGTGGTTGCCACCCCCCCCCCCAGGCAGTCTTTCTGCTCTGCACTCAACATTTTTAGAGCTAGAAGGCTGATTTTTCGTATAGCTGCTCGTCTTTCCTTTCTTGATGTCCACTGAAAATTTCAAGTTTCTGTGATTTTTGGTTTCGGAGATATGACCTTGTTTTTCAGGTCATGTCATGACCCAAATGGCCAATTCTCAACATCTTGCGTTTGCCATGGGCCTTGTGAGCTTTTGACACCCTGATTTCGGCCTTTTTTGCCGGTCTTACCTCCCACCTATCATGGAACATATTGTTCGACGATGTACAGGGGTCAAGGTCAGGGTCAAGGTCAACCTAGGTCATCTAAGATATTTGCGTTTTAGGCAAGCTGAATTCACTTTTTGTGAAGTTTTTTGACTGCATTTTTGGTAAAAGCTTCTCAGATCATGATTTCATGTGATATGGACCCAAAAACAATCGGTGCACACATCAGTATACACACAGACACACACAGACATACAAACACATATAATTGACCTTGACCTAACTTGACCTGAAATGACCTCAGCAGCAAAATTCTGGTCGGATAGTGTGACAAAGAGGTTCTAGCTGGCTTAGCAACAGAAAACAGCATCGTCATCGGTATTTGATAAGCAGCGCACTTGATATCCAACGGTGACCCAAAACAGCAACATTTTTTTAGTTTGACCTGACCTGGAAGGTCAATGACTGACCTGAGAACGTAAAACTGGGTATCATTGGATTGGTCTCTTCCCAACGAATCTTTTTGGTCTTTACTGCTAAGCTCTATCTCCAACAGGAACGAAATGGCGCGGGGGGGTGGCAACCACCCCCCCCCCCCATGTGCGTTCTAGGATGGGAAAATGGCATGTGCGGGCGAGGGTTAAAAGAACTCGGAAGTGCAGGCTTATCCGCTCCAGACTGATATCTGTTCGTCCCTAGACAATAGAGTGTCGAAATTTTCGGGAATTTTCTTAGGTATATTGAGGAAAGCTCAAGCCTTGTAAAAGCATCCATTAATCGTGCTATTCGTGAGGCGGAACACAAATCAAACTAGCATGGAGAGATCGTTGAGCGATTGCAATGTGTTCTGTTTCAGTTCGTCCCCTTTACGTGCGCATTGAGGGCCGAAACCGTCCGCTGTCTTTGGGCCGCGTGCATCACGTGACCTGTACGACAGCTGGCTCACGACCAAAGCCTGTGATCACGTGGTGGATCAATGGGTTAGAGCTGCAGGATTACTCAGTGCAGGTGAGAGTGTCGCATAAATATTTTGGGAACATTTAATTGGGTACATAACCGAAGGTTTGTTGTCAATAGTTAAAACACTATTCGTTAGAATTGTGTTTTTTTATTGAAAAACAAATCTGAGTTCCATGACAATGTGGCAAAAGCTGCCTGAGATCAGTATAAAAGATTGAGAACATAAAATCGATTTTTGCATGCCTATAAAATCAAGACATTGTTTTGCAGCCTGATAATACTCATGTTAAAAATTGCCCGCATTAACAATTCTAAATTGCTTGAATATGAAGTTGGAGATATTATTTAGACACCAACTAAATATTAAATGACTATAACTTGTCATTATAACTTTTCGTGTGATGTAGCAGTGCAGAGCACGCACAAATACGACTACCTTGTCTGGCTCCTGCCCCGTTCTGTATCCTCGATCCTCGTGGCAGCAGCTCCAATTCGGGGTTATCGACATTGGGTCGGTCAGTTCCATTTTCTCACTAGCTCCAACTTTGTGGGCGAGGTCAGTGGCACTCTGAACTGGGCCAGAGGTTCTCATATCTCCGTTCCCCAGAGAAGTTCCGATAAATTTTAGATTGTATCTAATGCATTTTCTTAGAATCGAACCTCAACTGGGTGCAGTTAACCAAATTGTGTCTCAAGTTATTTTCGTGGAGCTTGCTAAGTCTTTCCATTAAAACTGGTGCTACAATACACGCCTCTTCATTTGTTGAGACAACCAAATTTGAATGAGAAACGTGAGAGTAGATTTCCGCCATCTCGACAGCGGACTGAATTGTTTTCATTACAGACGTCTCTGGACGGCAACGAGACGACGAGCGTGCTGTCACTGAACGCCAGCCGCGGGCACAACGGCAAACACCTGACGTGTCGCGTCACCAACCCCGAGATGGACTCCACCGTCATGGAGGACGCCTGGAGAATCACCGTCAAATGTACGACACGGACAGACACTGACAGTGTGCATGGCTTTCATACGAAGGGTCTCCACAAAATCTCTAGTATCACCTAGCTGCCTGTGCTGTAATATGACGAAAGGTCAGCTGCGAGTGAGCCTGGACATGGAGCAGAGGATAATAAACTCCCAGGTGGCCCTTTCCCGTTTAGAAGGAAGTAGAACTAGAACTGTAAGCTCAACTCTGACGGCCGAACACGGAATGCAATGTAATATCTGGCTTCAGTTATGACGTTTTCCACTTTATGGTGCTACTCCGCCTTTACAATGTTAGGGCAGGACGTTCATCATGGAAATTATGTGAGGCAGCTGCGCTTTGAGGCTGTAAGCTGTACATTGACCCATAATGCTCACCGCATAAGCAGAACTTGACATATTTCATCGCTTATGAACTGCGTAGTGTTTTAATGCGCCTTCATCTGAGATTAGGATTTCGTGTTTTAAATGCTAAATGACTTATTAAGTTTCTCTGAGTCTATTTTCAGCTTTCAAAATACGTCTGTCCGTCTGTCCGTCTGTCCGTCTGCCCGTCTGTTTGTTCATGATCTCCGTGTGTCGCTGATGTGATTACTCGCCTGAGCACGGGCCTCTGTGCCGACAGATCCTCCGGAGGTTCGACTGACTCTGGGACCGCAGATCGATCCGATGGCGCTCAGAGAAGGCAGCGACGTTTACCTCGAGTGTCGCGTCAAGGCGAATCCAACCATCTTCAAAATCGAGTGGCTTCATAATGTTAGTGTCTTGAAGAAGCAATGTGTGAAGGCACTGTGACTTTGTTTGAAAATCATGTTTTTACGGAAATAGTTTTTCACAGCAACTATAATCGATACGGGCCTATTCCTTCCCTGTCGACAGCTGTTTGGTACAACCAATCAGGGTTTTTTCGGGAACAGTATTGATCTTTAGCGGCCGTCATTAATCATTTCCGTCTCACGTGTCCTCCGGAATTTTCCTCTCACCCAACCTCCAGTTTATGTATTCGTTGAATAAAGAGCACGGAGCTAAAAGCTTCAAATTGATAGAAAGAAATGAGAAGTGACTCGTTTAGTATAACGTTTTGTTTAGAACTGTAGTTTTAGGCGAAAGAAAAACATATCTTTATCGCTGGTTAACAAATGCATGCTTTATTTCAATGTACCTGATCATTTTATACTGATAGGCATGCCTCAACTAGCAGCACACGTTGTAACGCTTCAGCATAGTTTTCAAGTGATCGCCGTTTCCTTCAGGGCCACGTTCTTCAGCCGACCCCACGGGAGGGCATCGTCATGAGCAACATGTCTCTGGTGCTGCAGCGTCTGACCCGACACAGGTCGGGTCACTACGTGTGCCGCGTGGCCAACAGTGAGGGCGAGAACGTCAGTAACCCCGTCCAGCTCAGCATACAGCGTGAGTGGCGAGTGTGGGGAGAGGGAGAGAGATGGAGAGGGAGAGAGGGAGAGGGAAGGAGGGAGGGAAGGAGGGAGGGAGGGAGGGAGAGGGAGAGGGAGAGAGAACGTCAGCAACCGGGCTCGGCATATAATATACATACAGCGTGATTGGGAATGATACAGGAAAGATAAAAAACTTTATTGGCAGTTCGGTAACCAATAATTCAGCGGGCTTCCCCTTTTTACACACTGAGTCACTCACATAGTTTAACGCTCTCATCGTTCCTTCCTTAAAACCTAGTCGACCTTTGTCAAAGTATCGTGTTATTGCGGACCTTTGGGTCCGCAAGTCCACTCGGCACAGGTTAGGACGTATTTTAAAAGCGCACTTTGACCGGTCTGTCGGCCGTTATTGGTCGGACTCGGGTGACCGGCGCCACAACACTGCACTGGACGGGTCAATAGGTAGATGCGCACATCAATGCTGGTGGAGCGACATGTGCGTCTTTTTATATGTCCTAAGGCTATATCCCTAAATATGATGAATGCTTTATCAGGGTCTTGCTTTCACTATCACTGGGTAGTGGGTACAGTATCCACAGCGTGAATGCGTCTGTCGCGATACTATTTCTCTGCCTCTGATTTATATGTTATTGACGACGGTCAATTGCGCTTTTAAATGGCATTGGCAAGTGCGTGTTCCTGACATGTTGTTTACATGCTGTCTGCAACTGAGTGTTCTATCGACTTTTCGAATAACCACTTCAGCACAGCCGCCGTCAGTGTTTTACCTCCGGCGACCCTCAGAGCGTCTCTCTGTCTGTTCCCAGACGCCCCGGCCTGCCGCGCCAACCAGCGGCGCCAGTATCACGTGGCCAAGCACGAGCAGGTCACCGTGCCGTGCCTGGTGGACGCGAATCCCGCCAGCGTCGACTTCCAGTGGCGGCTGAACAACTCCCATCAGCTGCTGGACATCAGTCGAAACAGGTGTGAGGCAGTCTGGGAACATATTCACTCGGATTCATATTTCTCGCGATTTTAAATGCCTTTAGGCATTCAGTCATATAAAGTACGAGTGTTTCCATTGCTTTTTTACAAAAGCATTGAACATCATGCTGCCATGTTGTCATATTGTTCCGTTAGGAAAAAAAGATTCCCTGGTAACACTCAACACAACAAAACTGCCCACTGATCAATATAAGACGTGTATCTAGGCATATACTACGCATTACTGTGTGATATAGAATAGTCTTTGGCCTAACTAACCATCCCGTGGTTTTGTTCTGACACAGGGTGCGGTCTTCCGGCACGATCAGTGAAGTCACTCTGAAGCCGACCAACGACCTGGACTTTGGTACCCTCGAGTGTATCAGCGTCAACGAAATAGGCGACCAGAGGACACCCTGCTACTTTGACCTGATCCCCATCGGTAAGAGATACTGGATTAGAAGCAGATCTGTGTCAGTGCATTTGTTGTTGGGAAGTGAGGAGCGTATCCAGCCATGTTTCCTAGAGAGATTCGGAAATATTGATAAAGAGAACATGCCAAAAGCCGGTCCCGTAGCTCAGTTGGTTAGAGCGTTGGACTCCGCGTGGTGAGAGCACGCGTTCCCGGTTATAACAGTCCGGGTTCGAAGCGCGACGGGCGCTCGACATTTATGGGCCTTCTGACAGGTATGGTTGCGGTTGGTGGCAGGCCGTAGCCAGGCGAAGTCAGCGAGGGGACCGGCCGTGCGCGGCTTTGTGCGCACGTAAAACTTTGGATTCTAAATTCTGCCATAGAATCGGAATTGCGCAATCGGAGGGTAGAGGGCAGGGTCATCGCAACAAGCTTCGCTTAGCGGTGGCTCTGTCCTTGTGAATCCTTCCCATCAAAAGGTTCGGACTAAATTTATAAAAAAAAAAGGCGGCGGCCACTGTCCAGACTGTGTCACTGTTGCGGCGACCACGCATCGTAATGCAGTGGTGCACAGTTACGCGTGGGCACGTGTCGGTAAGGGACACGATGTCAAAGTTTCATCATAGATCAACTGCTCTCATTGTACTGGTGCCTCCATCACTTCCGTTAGCGCTTGATATTAAAGTTTATTTCTAGCTGTAAGCGGAACCACAAGTTTCAAAGGCGCTAAATCAGTTTAATGCTTCGTTAAGCCTTTCTCTCCTTACCTAGAAGCGTTGACGTTCGAAACGTTCAAACCCTCTAGGCGTACACCGCGCCCGGGTCTGAAACGGCTCATAATGTGCCGCAGAGCTTGTGTTGCACGGTTTCAGAGTATGTGCGTACATATACAGTGTGGAATAGAGTCACTAAATGCTCACAACAATTGCTATATTGCAGCAAGCCAGAATAAATGCACGTCCTCCGCCTGACATCACCCGCGGTTCGTCTGCATTTTACTGACTAAATTATAAGCCCACAAGTATCTATGCATTCCTCTCTGAATGCATCACATGTTCATGAACAGCCTACCCAATTTCAATGTTCGTCAAGCTTCAAAAAGATTAGACACAACAATAAGGTGGATAGGTTTCCAACTTGTAATTCATTTACTAGGCTCCACCAATATCATAGTGCCGTTTTTCCCGGCCAATGTAAGACCATGAGAACCCACCCACCTCTGCGGAGCGTGTGTCGTCCCACTAGCTCCGGGACTGGCGTGTGCTGCGGCCTGCAGGCTGGCGCCTGAAGACGGATGAGGGGCACCAGTTGGCAGAAGCTATACCATGCATCATGTACTGCGGCGTGGTGGCTGCCACCGCCGCCTCCACCCACCACCGCAGCCGCCTCAGCCATAAGTGCTACCACATCCAACACCCCACTGGTGAAATCAATTGCACTGCATGGGCAAACCAAACGGCAGCTAAGCCAACGGTAATGTACAGTAACAAGCAGAGCAATTTGGAAAAAGACCGAACAATCTTATATCGGATTGTTGATGGCAACGGCAAAGGCGTCGATAAAGGAAGATTCGACGTGTTACAAACAGCCAGCTATGTCGATGAACTTTATGAAATGGCGTTACAAGAAGTGGTGCAGGTAAAGGCTGTGAATGTCTGTTTAGATTGCGATGATGAGCAGTACTGGCTCACAGTTGGAATGCGACAATGAGCCGAATAGCTTTGAGTCACTGTAAACGCTGGCGATAAATGGCTCGCGCAGTCAGTAATGCGACCGATTCGAGTACGGATGGCGACGGTATTCAGCGCCAGCGAACGACGGCGAAGCCTGTTTGTGCAGCGACGACGGAGCTGACACAAATAGGAAGCCAACAGTGGCCGTATTGACAGAGGCGTGCTCGGTAATAGGGCCTGTGGGCCGCGCTGCGGGGCGGCTGCGGCCGCGGATGCTCCGATGGAGGGGCGGCGGTGGCTGTGCTGGGAAATAGCATAGTGGGCACGTGGCTGTATGCATTAGCATACAGCAATAGCATGGGTCCTCCACCGGTGAGAAAAGCGATGGGGATAAAAGCGGCTACTGGTATGGCAGCCTCGTTCAATGTTCTTGTGAACAATATTTAAGTGGGTCGTCTGACAGGATTATACGCTGCAAGACCGGCAAGAGAGATAATGTAGCACTATGACGGGGGGGGGGGGTATGGTAGACTTCTGTGGTATACTCATGTCTTATATGGTAGCCCTGCCGCTAGAAGACAGGAGGATATATACCTGAAAGTATGCTGTACCGCATTGCCCATAGCTTTGGACATTGCCGCTAGATGGCAGAGTAGATCAACGCCTGGAAATATACTGCACCGCATGGCGCAGAGGTTATAACGCTGCCGCTAGATGGCAGTAACAATCAACGCCTGGAAGTATACTGTGCCGCACGGCTCAGAGTTTTAAACTCTGCCGCTAGATGGCAGCAAAGATCAACGCCTAGACGCATACTGTTCCGCATGACTCGGAACTGAGATTCCTATCGCTAGGCAACAGTAAAGGTTGACGGCTGCAGGCATATTGTGTCGCTATCCGCAAACACGGCTGGTGAAGCATACTGTGAGACATCTACGGTCCAAGATGGTATGGAACTAAACTAATTTATTAACCCGCGCCCTGCTGGGGGTCCTGGATTTCCACGCCCTGCTGGGGGGGGGGGGGGTGTTTGAACACCCCCCCTTGTAACTCGGCTCCTGGGCCACGTAGCGATACGTGGAAGGCGGCGTTCGAAAGAGCGTAAAAAATAATGACGAAATCACTTCGGTCAATTTTTTGGTCAGGTCAAAGGTCAGGTCACCAGAGGTCATTGAAGGCAAAATTTCGCCGATTTCCAGGTCGAATGTCGAAAATTTCCAAGAAGCCAACGCATAACTCGGGAACCAATAGAGCTACAGCGCCGCGGAAAAGCGCATTCGATAGCCCTATTAAAGCCCTTTCTGAGTAATTTTCTCAGATTTGACCTAACCTCAACGGTTTTGTCTGCAGGGGGCAAAAACTGCAAAAATAGCCGATTTTTTTCGAAAACAGCGTTTCTGCAATAACTTCTGACCCAAGCCTTGTACGAGCTTACTTTTACCGGCATCGTGTTCCTCTCGTCAAGACGCATCGAATGAACTATGACTTGACCTTGAAAGGTCAACTTGAAAATTTGACCTCAGGTCAAGGTCATGACCTGACCGGAAAGGGTCATGTTGCATATCAGTCGATCCGTATCGTCGAGCTGAACACATTTAAGGCGTTTTCATCGCTCTAGCATGCCTCTATCAAAAGTTATTTGCGAAAAACTGTTAGATACCATTCGTGACCTAAGATGACCTCAGGGCATAAAAAAGGGCCACGGACATCATTTTCAAGTTCAGTGTGTCTATATCACTTGTAATTCGGTGTTTGGGAGTGTTTATAATGTCTTTCATCCACAAGAGGCGCATTTCAATTTTATCCCATTGACTTATAATGGGGAGGTCGCAAAATTGACCTGACCTTAGGTCATCGATATCAAAATTCTGAGATAAACATTTTGTACATGCTATTGCTCTTAGCAATCGCTGAAAGTTTCAAAGCGATCGGTCACTCGGTGTAGCTATGACAGACATTGAAAGTTTTTATGAGGTGAGGTCACTTCAAGTGACCTGGTGACCTGACCTTGAATGACCTTGGTCTGAAATTTTCACAACATGTGTAGAATTGATGTATGATAAGGTGTACCAAAAACGGTGGCGCTCCGCGCCGCCGTTTTTGAGATATTCGCGAAAAACCACAAGGGGGGTGTTCAAACACCCCCCCCCCCCCCAGCAGGGCGCGGGTTAAACCACGGTTGATTGTAGCTTATTTGGATGTTACACATATTTATGTTACATTCTGAAAATTCGAACTATTGCTAGCGTTAGCTTCCTTGTTGTTTCTAATCTATACCCTACCGCTATTTGACAGTGTGTAACAGTACAGTGCACATTACCAATCTCAACACGCATCACTGTCCTGACGATGTGTCCCTCCGACAGCGAACCCGGTCGGTCCGCCGGAGCCCCCCTCCGACTGCGCCATCCGAAACCGCACCCAGGCATCGCTGCACATCGGCTGCACGGCCGGCGCGGCCGGCGGCTACCCGCAGACCTTCCACCTGGAGGCGTACCAGGCGCGCACACACGTGCTGCTCTCCAACCTGAGCAGCGAACAGGCCGAGTTTGTGCTGGGCAGCCTCGGGCCCGGCGAGGAGGTGGTGGTGCATGTGTACGCGGTGTCGGAGCGCGGCAAGAGCGGGCTCGTCACACTCGAGGCCGGCACTCTCAAGGTGGCAGAGCTGAAGACGAGACAAGGTGAGCTGCTGAGAGAGAGAGAGAGAGAGAGAGAGAGAGAGAGAGAGAGAGAGAGAGAGAGAGAGAGAGAGAGGGAGAGAGAGAGAGAGAGAGAGAGAGAGAGAGAGAGAGAGAGAGAGAGAGAGAGAGAGAGAGAGAGAGAGAGAGAGAGAGAGAGAGAGAGAGAGAGAGAGAGAGAGAGAGAGAGAGAGAGAGAGAGAGAGGACGTTTCTTTTCTTTAACGGATCCTTTCAGAATGCCGTAATTTAATCATGCTCTTAATTTTAATTTCACAGAATCTTCCAAGTTCTAAGCATTCTAGCATGTTAGCTCAATGAAAATCCTCACCAACCCCATCTCTCTCATATATGTGACACGTCTCTTATCTTCCCATCCTCAATTTTTTTTTCATCTCAGAATGAAAAAAACTCACCAGCTCCTCGACAGACATTTTTACTCGATGAAGTGCTCCTCCAGGAAAGGCAATCTTACTCAGCGAGGCTCGCTGTGAACGACATCATAATTCGAACACCAAGATAGATGGGCTCTGGAGCATGCTTGGTAACGAGCATTTCGACCGAAATAGCAGCACTTTTTATGCCGGGTATCCACTCTGCTGAGCGGTGAGCCACATACTTCTTGGTGGATAAGCTCTGAGAGTCGGTGAAATGTGTAGGTTGCAGTTGGCTATCTACACTCAGCTCCCGTGTCATAATTCATCCTACTAATCCATTGCGCCTTCTGTCATCGTTCCGTAGGAGTGTACTCTGCCTCTGATATCTTTTTTCTCTGTGCATTAACATTGCTTTACATTAACCTACGTCTTGTTTTCCATTTTGCTCATACCAGTCTGTATTATTTCTCCCTTCTCACTCCTCTCTTTCTCCATTTCATCTCTCCCCTCTCTCTCTCTCTCTCCCTCTTTCTCTCTATCTATCCCAGCTCCGCCCATTCGGTCCTTGAATCAGCGCTCTGACGGTAACTGATATCGACCAGTCACAGCTGAAGACTCGCCATCAAACGCTCGTTATGACCCTGAGCCGTCTGACGATTGAGCTGAGCTCGCTCGACCGGTGCGACGAGCGATCGGCTCGCAGCGGGCTACGCTGTGCTATTTGTTGTCACGCGCCGCGTGTACCCACTAGTGGTGCCAATTGAAACTTGCCTATTTGGATACCAATATCAAACCGATATAAACTTAGCATCACTTAGCATCACTTTGAACTCTAAATTTAATGGTTTTGGTATTTTGTTTGATTTACAAAACCCTACTTTCTTTTTTATTTAAAACTGTGAACTTCCCAAGCTGCTCTGTTTTGGTATTTCCCCATGCGTTTTGCTCGTATTTGGTTTGATGTCAGTTTCCCAATTCCCAAACTGCAGACATCACCAATACTCGTTTTGCACGGGCGGGTAACGGGTCACGGGGGGCACACGTGTTACTCGTTTTGTGCCGACAGCACACGAGTCACGTGGGGCGCACGTGCCGTCTGGACGCCGAAAGCCGGTGATGGCCGCCGTTCGGCAGGGGACATTCCCGGGAGTGGAAGTCAGTGCAGCCAACTTCGACCCGGACCTCTGCGCTAATAGTCACCGGTCACCGGCTAATGGTTCCGGACCGTAGGGTGATGTGACCGCGGTCAGGGGACATGTGACTGTTGGTCACTGGTCAGTCATGGCAAATGAGTGTCTTTGGTGTGCTGGGGTTGTTTGGTCCTTGGCTACACCTGAACAGATTTCGTCACGTATTGTGATCAGGAATCACACTTCGAAGTGAATGCTGCATTTGAAGACATGGCTCAAGGTGTTTGTGATTTGCCCCGCTTCACCTACCTAGCAAATAAATCCAGCTACATTGGTGGGGCGCTCACATTGGATCGCAGAAGCATAAGCTTTATGAGCTGGGCCGTCATGGGAGTTCCGAACCATTTGCGGGTTTGACGCCGCTGACATAAAGTCACTCGAGTATTGGATCGGCTGTTTTCATGACACAGTATACACGCGGTAACGACATTTTGAGGCACTTCGTCACTCTAGGAGCACATACATATCCAAAATAAGCCATATATCCTCACAAAAGCTTCTGAACCTCATCGTAAAGGTTGTTTATGTTTTGTAACCAAAAGGGTGTAGAAGAGAAGGCAACTGAGCTGTGTTTCACAATATATCGATGTAAGTCATGACCCAGGATTGTTCACAAACAAAAATATAGAACAAAATCTTCCGCTTTCAACAGCCGTTGTTATGCTTTTTAGTGCTATGAACACTGAAAAGTTAATTAGGGTTTTTGATGCTGTTTCTTTGATATTTAAAATCAAAATCGGCCAGACGTGTGTCTAAACTCTTATCCCACATTAGTGAGCCTTATTGTATCGAGTCATCTGATATAAATATCAGATGACGTTAGGTTGTCGTTAGGTTGAATCTTGAAAATAGATAAAATGCCTCCCTTCAAGGCGCCTTTGCGATCTGAATAAGTTGGAGCTTCGCGGAAAAGGTGCACTGTTCTCCACCAGAAAAGACCAATGGTATCTGTGTTTATGGTATCAGGACAACCAACTAAAGCGGCACACAGGACAGGTCAATGAAAAAAGGAGTTCTGGTATAAGCGAATAGCTTCCACAGAAATAGTCATAAACATAATGATACATAGATCTTTCCAAACTCATCGAATGAAATGTTGTAAATTCCGCTACTTATTCCAATAAATCAGGCGGACCCAGCCTTTGTTGTGGTCTTTGTCTAGGAAACTTCACGAGAGTGTATAATTGTCCAGCACAGTGTCTTGCTCGATTGGGTAGCTGTCGACACAAATGTCTTTGGACGTTCGGTCACTGTCTCTCAGGAACAGCATCGATCCTTCTCAGCTCATGATGTTTGGATTTTTGAGGGATATCAGGCGACCGCAATGGGCTCATCAGCGCCTTCCCTGCTTATTTCAAGCTCATTGCCGGCTTGAAAAGTCAGAGAAATCAGTTTAGACATGTAATTTTCGGAGAATGAGATTCATCAGTTCACCTTTCGGTTAGCCAACAGAAAAAGGGCAGCTAGAAATGGCTCATTTCGTGTACCATTAAATACTATACATTGCATTGCATGTTGACAGTTGTGATAGTTCTACTGTGCGGCGTTTCCATCCCGCCACCGGTATTCGTATTTCACATCCATTGTGTCGGTCGCTGAAAGCCAGAACGGAAATCATTCATTTTCCCCGGCAAATAAAATAAAATGGAATCCCGGGCGTCAGAGCTATTTTAGTCGCAGACATTGGTCTATGCTCCACTATCTCCTTATCACATAGTGTGTAGGAGTCATGTGAGCTAAATATAAGAAGCGATGATCATACAGAACCTGTAAATCATATTGCTTTTATTCACTGTTTTGTAACGTCTGTGCCCTGATGCTTATAACATCAACAAGGATTAAAAATTCTTGAGAGTGTGCTATCCCAATATACTGAGTCGTCGCTGCGTGTTTCAGAAGACGAGTCGAGTGGTCTTCAGTTCACACCGCTGGTCGGTATCCTGCTGGGAGCCATCATCGCGCTACTGCTGATCGCCGTGGCCGTGGTGCTCACCCTGCGCCGGGTGCGGGCCCGCGAGCTGCGCGCCGCCAGACGCGACACGGAGGAGAGTCGAGAGAAGATGCTCAGCACGCACACCCTGGACAGTGACCGGGTGGGCGACAAGAGCCCCGACGTGGTGCCCTGCACCAGCACGCTGCTCGACAAAAGAAAGGGTCAGTGGTGGGAAATTTAAATAGTAAGACAGAAAAGGTAAAAAAGAAGATAGAAAAGGTACAAAGTTATACTTGAAGGGTTATCGAGCTATTATGTGTACTGATAATGGGTGACCAACAAGGATGTGTTCAGCCAATGACACATAAGGTTTATTGCCTGATTAATTCTCTCGCAAGTCGTCGTATTGCAATCGTCACTGCACGGAGCGCACGGATTTACCATACGTATGCGTTCTCGTAATGTCCTGCGCTTATCAGTAAAAATGTAAGCATCTCTTTGATGACAACTGTTGCTCTATATATGACAGTTGAGTAAAGTAATGGTAAGGACGTGCAGTGCCGTTTCACCATGTATCCCTGTCGCTTTACTGACGCGGTGTATTGCAGGTGGCGGTAGCCATCACGAAGCGCGGAGGCCTCAGCGGCCCGTGTCGCCCGGAATGCCCAGCATATCGGAGACGGTGTCTATCGCTCCCGACAGCAGTCTGCCGCGCAGACTGGCCTCACTGGAGTACCTCGACACTCGATTAGTGAGTATCTACCCATAGATAGGTATGTACTAATTTACTACACTAGTGTGTCGATCCTAGATTAGTCAGTATTTCCCGAATTTTACTACAAATGTATGATAGCTCACCTAATGACCGTATACGACTAAATACAACACAATATAATAGTACACAATGCAATGTATGCTGCACACAAGGTTGTCATGTTGACCTTCAGGGAGATTTGGACAATCTTGATTGGCCAATGCTTTCTTTAACACGGACCGGCGATCCTGATATACTGAATAATAGTGATCGACATTGTCGGCCTAGAATATTTCTTTATGACTTACTGATGACATCCAAGTTCAAATCATGCATAATGTACAGTCACATGTCAAGGGAGCTTATAGCCTGCATTTACATGTTTTGTGGTCCATCTGAAACACTTTATACGCTGGATGTTTTCCGAGCATATTTATAGCCTTTGTGACAGCCTGTGCAATGTGCAACCATCCAGTGTACCCATACCCTTTTCACCGGCCGGCACATATGCAGATCCGCTGTCAAATAAACTTCCGCGGTTTGATAGCCTAAATAAACCAGCAGCTGCTTCAGGGTTGACTTGTGATTGACATTTAATGATTCGTATCGTTCTGCTGTTTGATAATTGGAAATCACAATCGGGTTGCCGTTCCGCCCAATCGGAGTTGATAACATTTACCAGACGGGGCAATCTGCCCAGCTTCGAACGTCGTGACGACAGGACTACAATAGTCGGACAGAGGCGATTTCTTGGTACTGCAGAATCGACTGGGGAGTCCTTGTGTGTCTTTTGTTTATAGAGGTTTGGACGGAAGTTGAGTGGGAAATATGTTTGACCTGTACACAAGACTTCTTCCATGTAGCAATTCTATGTCTTCGTGCAAAATTTAGGTCCGAAATTGGTTTGCCCAAGCGCAAAGAGTTGCGTGACTTTCCGCATGTCTGTGATTGAAAGTTCAAAATTTCAGCACCGAGCCTGTAATTGTCTGTTTTATTTAAAAAAAACTCTACATCACCACCAGCCGCGGTCATTCCTCGCCGTTGTCACACACACACACACACACACAATGAGGGAAAGTCGTCACCGACGATGACAATTCGTCGGCACCGTCGGCAGGCGGACGATTAACTGGCGTGCACCGGCTAACGGCCCTCGAACACTAATGAGACGGCGCCTCTCTAATGGAAACGCCGATCAGACGGACGAGCGCCACAGTCCCGCCGTTCGCAGCATCGAGCAGTGCAGCGGCGAGGACGGTCCACGCTCGTGTGGAGTCGATAACGAGACGTCTGTCACAGCTGGAGGGCTTTGCATGTACCGGAAATGGCGGCAGCATTTGACAAACTAGAACTAATAATGCTGACAGTAAACAGCACAAACATAGCCCAGAACTGGTGTCTATACGGATCGTAAAATTCCTGCAATGTATGCTGCACGTCAAACAAAATCGTTTTAATTTACATTCACTCAAAACACCGGAAGGGAATGCCCCGCCACTGAACAGCGTTAGACACACATTGACTGCTCGACCTCAGGCGTTGCGTCCAGAAGAGGCTTGTTGTTGTGGCCTCCCACAGCAGATCAGCTCGCCAGAGACCGAAGTAATTGAAGTGCTCTCGAGAAACAGACGTCAAGGGTGTTGTTTTTCGCTCCGAGTTCTGTTGGGCAGCACGCATGTTTGTGGTTGGGTGTGTGTAATTTGCGAATAATTTGTCGGAGTCTTAGACGTTTGGACTTCTGATTTTAGCGAGATACAAGATTGTGATGTAACTAGATTAGTATGCTAAGAGCCTAAGAGAACAGCATCTTTGTTCAAATTGTGGCCGAGTTGCATCTTTGTTACGACTGCGATCACGCAGGCTGTCCTATTCTGGCAAGTCTTTTAGTCGAATTTACATAAATTGCTGTAGAAAAATGTTGCAGGCCGACTCTCACTCGTACTCCTACCTTAGGCCACCAGAAGCAATTGACCATCGAAGGAACAATGCCGCAACTCTTATTCCTTAATCACAATTTTCACAAACACACACATGTCAGTTTGTTGAACTTTATCCAGCAAACGTGTTACCAATTCACGCTGAGAGCATTCGCTGACCATCTTGTCCCTTTTTGTTACAGGAGTGCGGGGAGACGAGCTCACTCCGCAAGTCTCCCAGCATAGAGATGTTCCCGTCCCGAATGGCCGAGATACCGGGCTTCCCAAAGTCGCCGGCACCGTGCAGCCATCTTCATATGGTGTACGATTCGACTGCACCACCGTCAGAGGCGGGGAGTGAAGGTCGTGATCGTAAATGGCACGAGAGTGTGGTGTGATGAAGGTGACCGCACGAGCACGTGCTGCGTGAGCGTTCGATCACTATTTGTGCCTCTGGGACGGTTGCGAGTGCTGGAGTGGACCAGCGGTGTATCGCAGGGACTGCTACTGTCGCCAGTGCAGTTTGATGTCGGACGATAATTTGGAAATGTGAGCTGTTGGTGCCGTTATGAAAGATCGTGTGTTTAATTATTGTGTTGGGAGTCAGCATGGCGATTGGAGACATGTGAAGAGACTGGTCAAAACTATTGCCATTATGTATTCAGTGTAACACTTTACCGAAGGGAATATGGTCTGTCCACGACTATCAGTGAGATCTCAAAAGTGCAGAGCCTATTTTAAGGGAATTTGACTGGGGGGGCAACCTGGAAAATTGTCTTTAATAATCCATTAACCCTCGCCCGTATTGGTGTTTCCAGTAGCGAGCGTATGGGGGGGGGGGGTCCGTTGGACCCTCCCCCTTGCCGTTTCGCCCCTGATCGAGCTAGAGCTTCGCGGAAAAAACGACCGTGTTGCCCGTGATGAAAGGAAGCCGATTATACCCAATTTTAAGGTCCTAGGTCATCGGTTGACCTTCCAGGTCAGGTCATTGACCCAAAAGTCGGGAAAATCGGGACCTGTTAGAGCGTCGTAAAGAGTGGCTGCTATGGTTTTTCGGGGTGCTGATCACGAATATCATGTTAGTTATGATCATAGATGATGTCTTCATGCATTTAGGCCAGGTCAGGTCAGGTCAGGTCAACCAGTAAGGGTTTTGCCGGGTATTCGTAGTAGGTGGCAACCGCCTCTGACAGCTTCGTAACATGTTACGAAGGCACCAAAACTACTTCGTAAATGGTCAAATGGTTGCTTAATTCGAATTCAGCTCCAAAAACTAGCCTAGAAACATATAAAACTCGAAAATGTGAACCGAGGTCATCAAAGGTAAATGATCTGACCTGACCTTCCGGTGATCTTGACACCCACCCTAATGCATGGGAGCAACATCATATCCCATGTTTGAACGTTTGAAACCACGAAAAGACTGCAAACGCGCGGCTAATGCGAGGCGACATACGCCGAATCGCGACCTCGGCCAAACATGGTGCCATGGTGCTAGGCCGCCGGTGCATCTGATAGAACTGTGGTGCCCCTGACAAGCCTGAAGTTCCAACGACAGGTCCGTGGTGCCCCTGACAGGCCCATGATGCCTTTGCGAGGCCGGTGGTGTCCACGTGAGGCCGGTGGTGCCCCTGAGCCCTGACAGGACTGTGGTGCTCCTGACAAGCCTGGAGTGTCCCCGACAGGCACGTGGTGCCACTAACAGGCCCATGGTGTCCCAGTCCCTGCGAGGCCGGTGGTGTCCCTGCCAGGCATGTGGTGTCCATACTAGGCCTCTGGTGCCCCTGACAGGTCCGTGGCGCCCTTGCTTGGCCTATGGTGCCTCTGGCAGGCCTATGGTGCCCCTGGCGGGCCTGTGGTGGTACCCCTGACAGGCCCAAGGTGGTGCCCCTGCGAGGCCGGTCACGGTGGGGCCCCTGGCAGGTCTGTGGTGCCCCTGGCAGACCTATGGTGCTCTTGCTAGGTTGATGGTGCTCCCAACAGGCCTGTGGTGCCCCTGACAGGCCGGTGGTGCCCCTGGCAGGCCTGTGGTGTCCCCGGGCCCCAAGAGGGTGGGGGGGGGGGCATGACCCATATGACCCACCCTTAGATACACCACTGGTCATTACTTACAGACTGACTCATTTGACATCCATTGCAAAACAAGTCACAGTAGTTACGTAGTATGTTTGTCACCCTGTTCCTTTATGCCCATTTTTATAGTGGGCAAATCTCGACGACTAGGGGGGTAATTCTGTTGAGTGCGGGGGCATTTGCCCCCCCCCCCCCAGTTAACATGTTAAAATAGGCCCTGCAAAAGTGAGAACTTTTAAGCCGTCTCAAACGATCGTTGCAATTTTCCACGGTGTGGCTTCCACGATTGACAGGGTAGGAAAGGAATGATACATGAACTTTGGAACGGAAGCCCTGAAGTTGATCGAGCTCGATGATTGTTACTTGTCCCAACTGTTATTGACCACTCAACATCATTGTCCTGTTTTCTTTCACTGGGAACTCCTGAAAATAGAATGAGTGATTTATTTTTTGAATATCGTGTTTCAAAACAAACGTGTGAGGATGTGACATACAATTGTTTCAAATTTCAACTGATTTTATGTTTGATTGGTGTGAGTGTCTTTCTTAGTATTCTATTCGATCTGTCAAAAATATATGTGCTTTACATAAGCCACAGCCTAAATTATGAAAGTCATTTGCTTATAAAATACCTAGATAATTATCTGCCATCCTAGAAATTACCTTTTTTAGATAACTTTACATAACTATCCTTGTCTCTAACAGTTGCTGCGATATACCATGTATAAATGCATGGCCACCCTTCCTTAGATAAGTTTAAAAGTGTAGTTGCTCATATAACGGTTGGCTATGGTCAGTACTTATTGTTAACCCTCGCCCCGTTGGGGGGGGGGGCATTTTGGCCCCCCTGTGGTTTTTCCTGATTAGCAAGAAAACGGCGGCGCCCAGCGCCGCCAAATTTTCAGTACCTTCCCGAGCATCAATTTGACACCTTCACACCAAATTTCAAGTCTTAGGTCACATTAGGTCAGGAGTTATTGAGGTCAAACTGAGGTCATGTTCGAGCAAAAATGAGCAAAAAACATGCAATCTTGAAACGCTCACCAAATCTACAGTTATCAAGCAATTTCAAAGTTCTTTATATGATCTAGTAGACAAAAAGCGGCGCTACAAAACTACTATCTCGGATTTCAAAATTTTGGGTTTTTGACCCAAAAAAAATCAAAAAATTGATTTTTTTTAGAAAAATTAAAAAAAATCCAAAAATTTTCCGAATTTCGAAAAAACGGAATATATGTGATAGTCCCTGCGGTCTTCTATATACATACCGAATTTCAGATCGATATCTCGTTTTTTGGCCAAGTTATAGCGAAAAAACTGTTCAAAAATGATGACATCAAATTTTTGAACTCAATTTTTAGCGATTCTAGACCAATTACGGCAAAACAAAGACCACCATTGAACTCCCCGTGACGAGCTGCATCGATTTGATACCCATTTTATGCAAAAATATTAACTTTGAAATTTGACCTAATTTGACCTGACCTTGACCTGACCTTGACCTGACCTTGACCAAAACGTGACCTAAGCTGGCCCCAAAGACTGCCTGACCCACATAATCGCATTCGTCATGTAAAATGGACCATAAAACATGTATCACACGACACTTTCATATTGTGACCCCCCCGTGACCTGACCTCTGTGACCTGACCTGGTATCAGTGACCTCAAATAGCAAAATATGTGTTTGAAGAATATTTCCCCATCGATGATTTTCAATGAAATGCATTTTACTCGATTTTACAACGCATTTCTTGAAATGCCTGTAAACGGTGAAAATTGGACTTTTGACCTGACCTGTGACGTCATCGGTTTGACCTAGGTCAATAAAATTGGGTCACAAGGTAGTTCCCTGATAGGGCTATCCAACACCGTTTGCCGCTTGTCGCTAGTTTGCGTGGTTCTCGAGATCTTAGGGCCCCCAACGGGGCGCGTTGCTCGGCAGAGCCCAACGGGGCGCGGGTTAAAATAAATGTTAACCTCTCGAGTGGCCAACGAGAGCATTACCACTGACATTAGGCATTGCTCATAGACATTAGACCCTGTAACACGTAACTATGTTTGTTACCAATGCTGATACAAAGAAACACTCGGGAATGAATTAAATATTTAACTCTATGAATGCCACTAACAAGGACCGTATGGTGTATACAGTTTCGTGTCCGCAACCCCTCAAATAATTACCTTCAGTAAATCACTAACCAAATGAATAGCAAAACAGCCAATCATGACCATCCAGCTGTAGACACTGATGGCTATATGAAGGCAGACAAGCCGCAGTGTCGGCAGGGCATCGTTCCCCACAGTGCCGCCAGCTGATAGCACAGGGCTAATGCATGCGTGACATCTATGACGGAAGCCGCGGTTCCGCCTGTCATACAGACCGACTAATAGCGGGTCCCGTGTAGCGCGGCAGTAGGGCGAACAATTATCCTTTGGTAATGTGTCAAAAGGATGGTGATAAATCACGTATTTATGGCCAGTTTTCCTGGCGCTGTAGAGTATACTCCTGAAGTCTTGGCCTTCACGAATGTCGTTGCCCATCATCCCTCGGCTCTATTAACAGTTTTATGATCATCTACATGGGCAGGCCGCAGTTTTTCATTGAGGCATCGAGACCTTGTCGGCTCAAACGTTTGCCCGGATGCCCTCTGCACCAGACAGGGGCACCAGGGGGGGGGGGGGAGGGGGTGACGAATTTACTGTCGAGTCATTGCTTCCTCGTGCTTTGCTGGATATATCTTTGGAGACGTCTAGATAAAAGAAACGGGTGTCGGCACAGGGCAGTAGGCATTTGCTCAGTCTGTTCAAAGCTGACTTTAGACTAAATTAATGTATGAGTAGGGGAAGTTGGGGGAACGCCGAATACTTTTTTCTGACGCCCGTAGCACGCAAGGTAGACAACATAAGCTATTCTTGTTGGCGTCATTCGAGAGGCCAGTCTTTTGTCTTTCAAACATACCAGGCGCATTTGATGAATTCGCATACCGTTAAGCGCAAAAACTAAAAATATCAAAGAACTGACTTTTTCGGCGTTGCCCCGGACTGCGGGGAAAGCCGAAAATGGGATAAATGATCTACGAGGAATGCAGACATTGATGTTTTGCCAATTTATCTCAAACTTTATCCAAAATTCATCAAAGCTGACACGCGTTTTAAGAGCTTGAGGACGCTTGGTGCACACTGGAAGTTATAATTGTGTGATATGATTAAAAAAAATGCTAGGTAAATCATTCCTTATAGGTAACAGGCCGTTGTGCCGGCTGAAAGTGTAATTTGTTTGACTAAAAATACGCGTTGCTATTCTACAGCAGTAAAGTCCACGTAGCGTGCTTTAACGTGCGTAATTGCACGTTTTCGGCATTACCCCAGCCAGCCATACTTTCATTTGCAGGCCCATAACTTTTAAACGTGCTGTATAAATTTCAAATAGGCAGCACACTTATGCAAAGACATGCTGAAGATTACTTGACCGAATTGGCCAGACAAACGGTAGCATAATGAGTAAGAAATGCAGCTTCAAAGGCGCATGTAGTACAAGGGAAACGTACCTTGAAAACGCTTTTGGCGCCCTCACAGCCGAAGTATTCCAAATGACAACTCGTAACAAACATGCGATAATTGTAGTCACTTAAGCTTCAGAGCATCACTGAGACGTGGCATCCATGTCGTACGGTTTTAGAAATATCTCGAATTTCGGCTTTGCCCCAACTCCGGCATTGCCCCAACTTCCCCTACCTAGCAAGAACAAAGCATGACTAGTGGGTCATTAACCATGACCCGTTGCCAGCCTTCTAATCACCCGTCTCGCCACGTATTTCAATGGGACAGCTGATACCCGAAAGCCGCTGACCGCAAAGCGCCTGCAGCCCCGCCGCTGTCTCAGTCCCGAGTGGCCACCCACGGCACCATTTTGGCACGGCTGCAGCAACTGACAATTGATACTGCCGACCAGACCGCCAGTGACAACACCAGTCGTAAGAAGTGGACCTTCATCTAGGATAAGGTGGCGCCGCAAAGTCATTAATGATATTCATTAGGGACAGCATTACGTGAACAGCTTTGCATCTACTAATTTTCCATTAATTTGTTTAACGACACTCTGGCGAAAGTTGAATCTGCTTCGTTCAAGCTGATAACTGTCCAGCGTATATTTTCAGCACTAAGCGCTAGAGCCCATCGATACGGATGCATAAGGCATGGCTAGCCCACGTAGTGACAAAGGGAGGGAAAGTTGTTATCAGCCGTGACGACAGTCCATGTTTTTAAACATTTTTAACATGAGCTTGTTTCCTTAGTGGCTTTCCCATGGAATCGATAACAATCCCTAGGGGATATATGCCTCACCAGTTCTTAGATGCTACGTTGACGAGAAAACATTTAACATTTTGCTACACAAAGCTACTGCAAGGTAGTCTTGAACATTCATCCACCGGCCATAGACATTGCGTTATCTTTGTTTTCCCTCTGCTGTTCAAAGATGTATAATGTTCCAAAACTTGTTCTACATATATACCAAGCAGCTCAAAATGCGTGCTCCAGCTTCTTAGCTCCCTTTAATCTAATGTGTGCACACAAATTTTGCATAATTTGACATAATTGACTTCGTTGTGCATTGCAAAACTCCTTGTTGCCAAGTTCTAGTCGCAAAAGTTGGTTAAAAGTTAGGCTGCCGTCAGGGAGCCCAGGTCGGGCTGCAACGGTTCCCAGCTTTTTGCGCTTACATGGAGTGACGTCGCAATTTCAAATTAGCAACGAAAGACAAAGTTTTACTACATTATCCAAGCTGCTATTCTGAGCCCGTATATTTGCCAGCGTACCTAAATAGAAACAATTGTGTACATGTTGTATTATAAATCACATATTTTGTCATTAGACAATGTCTGCTTTAAAAGCAGCTTCGATGCTTCTCCTTCCAAGTATAACATAAAATGAGCATTTACGCGGTAATGCAGCGCAGATAAAACTGATAAAAGCAAATGGTTTTCTGTCCAAAGTTCCCAGCTCGATGGCTGGCATATTTCCAGGGTCTATCCGACGGTGATCCTCCCCAATCCATTTGACCATTCTCTCAGCGGGTGCGTGCTGCCCTCTCTGTCAGCCGGGCTCGGCTCGGCTCTCCATTTCGGCAGTTTAACTCGGCGGCCAGCGCGGCGCTGCCGTCTCCAATGTGGGCCGGCCGAGCGCCGTTCCACTGAGCCAGGTCACGGCGGCAATAGCGGGCCGCTGTCCGTCGGTCACCGCCGGCGCCGTCCACCCCCTGATAAATGACCACTGGAGAATAGCCAGTAGCGCTGCGGCCGCCGTCCTGAGCCGGCGCCGTCCTCCTGACTCGAGCACAATGTGGACCGGCCGCCTGCTGCCCGACCGCCCGACCACTGCCCACCGCCCACCGCCCGACGGCCGCCGTCTGACCACCGAAAATGGCTGAAATGTGCCTATTATATAGATGTGCTTACCAGTTCTACAACAGTTGTTCTACCAGTCGTACTTATACTTTAACCGCCCCCAGAAGATGTTTCATTTTGTTGTAAGCCACTAGCCATCGGAAAATTAGACACGCGTCTGCTGCCGTCCGATGAGCTCTATCAATGGGCAGCACACTATAGTAGTAACATATTCACGTACCGGTGAATGAAGAATGGATTATGGAACATTGGTATAATCAGCTGTATAGGAGCGCTACTGCCTGTTCCAGGACATTAATCATAGGCACATTGTTCCGAAGAACAGGTGAGGAGCTGTAACGACCACGATGTAAATAGAATAGGCAGCCTTCATTGATCTCAAACAAACTCGTACGTCGTCAGCATCGTGCTTGTATCGTGCTGCGGAATAGAAGGTACCGATGTGCAACAGGTGTACTTTGTTTCGCCTTATTTGATAAGCCACAAGACAGCCTGCTCTTCTTGCAGTTTTATTCCTATAGGGGATAGTCACTCGTCCCATATGCTTCAACCAAATTTCATTATGGATAGTAACCCAAGCAAATGGAAAGCCTGTGCTCTCAACGATAAGGAACAATCAGCATGCCAAGTGAATTGGCCAGCGCGGCGCCATGTGCGTATATCTGCATAAGTGGCACGGAGCTGCGTCGCCTCTCGGGTCAAACGGCGCCGAAATCCGTTCAGCTGAGAGACAGCGCCGGCCTGGGCAGCCGACCGTGCTAAATTCGGCAGACGTTGAGCGCATTATGACGGCGGATTCTGAGCGTCGACAGCCGACGTCTTCATGCTCGAGGAGCAAGTGGGCCATTCTGAAGCCGGTTTGAAACAGAGGAGTGAAAATTTTGCTTATAAAAATACGCAGGGCCGATGTATTACTCCCGTGGTAGATATCATGTGTCATATATGCAACATTGACAGATACTGCACGGCTACAAGGGGATATTAGGAGACTTTATAATTGGTCGAAAACTTGGAAATTGAAATTGAATCCCTCCAAGTGCAAGCAGTTCTGTATTACCTTAAAAAGTGACCCCCTTACTTGTCAATACATGATTGGTGACACTCGCCTGGAAATCGTGCACACAATTAGGGACTTGGGGGTGGTTTTAGACAGACGACTCACGTTTTGTAATCATGTTGACTTTATTGTGTCTAGGGCAAACAAAATGAACGGCATTCTTATGAGGGCGATGCAGTCTGAATCAAAAATTGGCATAGTAAACTGGAAGTCAATTTTGACCGCCTTCTATGGAAATGTTCGTGCGATATTAGAATATTGTTGTGTCATATGGGGTGGTGCGGCAAAATCGCACTTAGATAGAGTAGAAAAGATACAGTATCACTTTCTCAGATGGCTATACTTTTATGTAAATCGAAGCGCGATACCATCTGATATTGATTATTCTCGTTTGCTCCAAATGTTTAACGTAACTGAATTAGAGAAAAGACGCCATCAATACGATATCATGTTTGTGGAAAAACTGTACAAAGGTGTCCTCGACTCACATGTACTATTGGCACGGTTTCCGCTGTATGCTGCTCCAAGAATTACAAGGAGGATTGAAGGAGCTCGTGGTGTCATGAATGTACCATTTGCGCGGGTCGACACTATGAAAGGTTCGCTTTTTGTTAGGGCACCCACTATCATAAATGAATTTATGTTCGAGATAACAGATTTGGATTTGTTTCACGACTCAATGCGGGATGTTCGGGCTAAAGTAAGACGACATATACAAAACATGTGAGTCCTGGTGTGAACCGCGTGACTGTATTTATTGTGTTATGCATGTACTGTATGGACTGTGTGATAGATATGGTTGGTATATCGAGGGATTGTATGTGTAAGAGACGAAAGACTAAAGGCAATGTTTACACTGCTCCGAACGTATAACTGCTATGGACTGTTACTGGGCGTCAATTCGCCTGTTGTTCCATGACATCGAATAAATAAAAAACATATTCTTTGTATTTTGCTACTGCACGCAACTAATAATTTGTGATGGTTTTGTAAACGCTCATCTTGGTCTTACTTTTTCGATTAGAATTACGAACCATTTAGATCTAGATGTTTGCGACAGAGAGGAAACACTAATGGTATTAGGGTCCCCTAATAAAGTTTAGTGGCCCCTCTGGAGTGTGAAGACCAGCTGGGTCGGAGGTGGGTTGGGGGAGCGGCAGTCCGTGGGGAGGGGGCGAGGGCGGGGAGGGCGAGGGAGGAGACGAGAGGACAGACGTCAGTCAGTGAGAGGGGACGACGGTGACAACAGAGGCGGGCCGCGAGTGGCGCGTCTCCCACCCCCCATCCCCAACGGCGCCACTGTCCTCAACTATTGTCTCCTCCGCCTCTTTTTCGTTTTTTTTATTACTTCCTCCCTCTCTCGTCCCACTACCGACGTCGTCTTACCCACGGTGGTGGCGGATGAGGAGCGCAACCGAAAAATGGGTGAGTACCCACCTCCGACCCAGCTGGTCTTCACACTCCAGAGGGGCCACCAAACTTTATTAGGGGACCCTAATACCGAATATGTAACATATACATTTCTTAGAAGTTAGAACCCTCCAATAAGAAAAAAACGGAGAAGCTTATTATATCTGGCCTTGTGCATATTAACCTATTCGACCTTCTAATTTTGGAATAATGCTGGCCGACAGGGTACAGGTCGACCTATGCACCCCGGCACTGCACATGGCACGGTCATTGGCACGTACAGCTCATATGCCGTATGTGACATGTGGAGGTAATCACCGGCGAACTCCAGAACGTTCTCAGCTATTCGGGTGCATTAACATTTCAATCGGCATTAGATCTAAAGCACAGACACCTTTGAAGACCTACCAAGAAAATAAACGGAAACTTAGTTACCATAAATCAGCTTGTATTGTGAGTAGCGCTTGGCAGGAACAGTTTATAAACATACAATCAACGTGTCAAACAGTCATATCATCATCTTAACTCACACAAAAGACATGTTTGTCAATCAGCCTCCAAACACATACACAGTAACAGGATGTAAGTGGGCCTCTATCCAATATTTGTATATTTGTGACAGAACACAGTGATACAACCTGCCGCAGTGTACGCAGAACTTCATACATTGCCGGGAGGAATAATAATCCTACACGGCAACAGCTACAACATACATCCAAGCATGATGTTAATGTGGAGATTATTAACAATATCCAATGGCTCACCAAGCAACAAAGACAAAAAACGCACCGATCTAAATCAACCCTCGCAGGCTTCCTCCCAGTTTAGAAAACATTGACAGGGCGTATACTGAGAAAACACTATCACATTTCACGGCCCGCTTGAATCGGCATTCGTCCGGCAACAATGACACATTGAACCAACCAACAAAGACCTGAGCACCATACCCCCGGCCCCACAGCCGACCGAGCGCGAGTTTTCGCTCCCCGGGTCGTCCTCTCGCCCCACCGTGCACAGCCAGTATCGCCCGGGGCACCGCCCCGCCACTCAGTCCTCGCCACGGTCCTCGCGAGGACGGACCCAGTCCTCTGGGAGGACGACAGGCACCGCGTGTCCTCCGGGGAGGACGAGTAACGTCGGATCAGCCACCAGAGGTCCTCAGAGGAGGGAGTCCTGGGTGTCAGGTGACGGCTGAACCATCCTCTAGTAGGTTGTCGGGCCGTTCCGATACGGGAACCTTGTGAAAGAAAGGATTGAGTGAAAATAACGAAAATAACAGCAATTTTATTGAGCTCTTTTGATGATTTCTGAAATAAAATAACACTTCTGCCCAGGCATTATTAACTGAGATCAAATACAAAGACATAATCGATTATAAAACAAATCATCCTCGTAGAATTAAACACTCCCTTTATTATAGTCATGTGTCTAGCACGCTTAGCACCTTGCGATGCATGATGTTATGCATGAAGTTGTGCGATGTAATCAATCAATGTGCAATATAACGATGTTGCTAAATTACTAACAACTTCTGAAGTGTCTAACGCAGAGCGATGCACAGCACAGAGTCGGTCATTCAAGGTCACACAGCACGGTCGACACAGACTCAGCCAGTAGGTCACGGCACAGAGCTTCTTCAACCATATTCTCACCTGGTAAATCAGGCAGAGTTTCATGAAGTTCCCGTTCGTTCACCGGCCATTGGTGTCCTTCCAGATGGCTCCCGCACCCATCAGCCTGGCTTGTCGTCTCCAGCTGTATTTCTTGAGGCCCCCGGCCGTCCACCGCACACCGTTCCTGTTTGGAGCACTGCCCTTGTTTGGATCACCGTCCCTGTCTGGACCGCTGTCCCTCTGTCCGTTCCCGACACATCACTGCCGGCACCGCACGCGCCGCCGCCCTTCTCCCAGCAATTGGCACTAGACCCCTGCCTCGAGAGTCCATCGCTCAGCAGTCAGCGTTCTCGGGCAGTCCAACGTCAGCGGGGTACGCGACTGAGGCCGCGCCGGCGCCGCTCCCGAGCGCGCGTCACACCACACTCTCCTGCCACGAGGTGTCCAGCTCTTTGGTGTCCGACTCAGATGCCTCCATCGAGTCATAGAAGTCGGGCGAAAGGGTGGGCGCCTTGGGAAAGCCGGGAATCTCGGAGACGAGGCGATGATTGGTGTACGGGTCTGGGCTGGGGGGCTTCGGGAACGTGTGCAAATCCGTATGGCACTGAAACAGACAACCGGGAGCGTTAGAAATACGCGCTCGTCGGCCAACAAGTGCCGGACGCAGGGCGACGCGCCGGCAGTTCTGACACAATTTCGACGAAATGGTGGCCAAATTGGTGGCGCCGCGCAGGTAGTTGGCTTGTAATTTGCTCGTCCAAGTTATGTAAGTTAATGTATCGACTTCCGCACGACTCTGATAATCGTCAAGCAGAGGCGACCTCACCAGTGACCTCGGGGGACCTTCAGGACAGGCCTGGCTCGACCCGGTGGCCTGTGTCGCACGGCCGCATTTATCATTGCAGCTACCGCGGTACTCTCGGTGGTTGGGGTGCTGAATTGTCTAGTTTGAATGCGCATCTCATTACAGTATAATAGGAGCTCTGTTAGAGCGAGGCCCGGCCGCCAGCGGCCCACAGTGAGACTCCAGTAAATGGCTGTGATTTGCTCGGAACCGAGGCAAATGTGAGACAACAGTGGCGAGCTCGTCAACGTCCCGGCGAACAATGCATATTGCATACTACCAAGGACAGATATATGTCACAGCGAAATGTTCTGCAAACGGACCACAAATATAGACTATTGTGGCAGCTAAAAAACTGACCGGGTAAGTATCAGCGATGAACGATTTAGTTGTTCTAATGCTTTAAAACGAAAATTAGTCACCAGTGTTAATGTCGTTTTGTGATGGGTATAGGCCTGGTTAGAAACACACAAACGGATACTTATAAGAAACTGTTAAGTTAATCATCTAAATGCCAGCTAAGTCAAAAGTTCGTTAAGTGCACAACACTCTGATTTCTCCTCGAAAACCGTGATCTACGGTCGATGTAGGTAGTCTCGTAACTAGCGTTCGTATACGTCTTGGCAGGTAACTCCTCACTAATCGGGGGTCAAAATACTCCAGTGGGTTAGTAAGTACGTCTCGGTGGGTAGTTACTCACTAGTCGAGGGTCGAGATACAGCAGTTGAGTTAGTTAGTACGTCTTGGGTAGTTACTCACTAATCGGGGGTTGAGATACTCTAGAGTACTTAGTTAGTACTATATGTGGGTAGTTACTCACTAATGGGGGATCGAGATACTCCAGAGTACTTAGTTAGTACGTCTTGGTGGGTAGTTACTCACTAATCGGGGGTCGAGATACAGCAGTTGAGTTAGTTAGTACGTCTCGGTGGGTAGTTACTAGTTACTCACTAATCGGGGGTCGAGGTACTCCAGCGGGGTCATTCTCCGCGGCAGACTGCTGTTGGGAGCGATAGAGATCGTCTCCGATATGCTGGGCATTCCCGCGTATCCCGGAGGCTTGGAGCGCCTCGATTCATAGTGAGAACCGCCACCTGAAACACAACCCAGTCCGGCCGTGTTAGTAGGGTTAGAAACCTGTCCTTTATACAGTCAACTGGTGAGCTCCAGCCCACATAGCAGGGTGAGCCGCGTGCCTAAGCAATTCAGTGGTTAGTGGGATAAGCTCAGGGTTATTTAATTACGTTCATTTAGCTGGAACTCTTCGAACGTTCTGCTGTTTTATTCGGTACGACAATAAAAATCAAATCACAAGCGTAGAAAATTGGTGCCATCGACTTGCTATCGACACGCGCTGACATCCAAAAATGTATTCGAACGATGAGAAATTTATGACCAGGCAAGGCCACGGTTCATTATTGTCTGCCGCATTAGGCTCGTGATCGGCTTGTAACCGTGACAAACAAACATGAATTCTAACACGAATTCATTTTGCGTTTTATGTCATCAAAAAGACCAGAATGTCAAAAGCACAAGCACGAAATGTCGGAATACAATGCGTTGCGTGCTGCGCTTCACGATGTGATGCCAGAGCATATTTTAGCAAATGAAGGATCAGAAAGACCGCTAGTCAAATGCTTGCAATTCAAATTCTAAAACACTCCCTCAAAGGTGCCGAAATCAATTCAGGAAACTATCCTCATAAACTATTTATGAGTGCAAGATAACTTCATCGCTTTTTGACAGCGTAAAGTGGTAAAAATGCGTGATCTCATTTGACTGGAAAGTCGTGAAAAGTAATGCTAATTTTGTACCTACATAACAGATAGTCTCTCGAGAACAGCAAGCACACCGAATGGTGCGAGTCTGCTACCACTGCCCACCACTGACCCTTTCTTTTGTCGAGCAGCGTGCTGGTGCAGGGCACGACATCGGGGCTCTTGTCGCCCACCCGGTCACTGTCCAGGGTGTGCATGCTGAGCATCTTCTCTCGACTCTCCTCCGTGTCGCGTCTGGCGGCGCGCAGCTCGCGGGCCCGCACCCGGCGCAGGGTGAGCACCACGGCCACGGCGATCAGCAGTAGCGCGATGATGGCTCCCAGCAGGATACCGACCAGCGGTGTGAACTGAAGACCGCTCGACTCGTCCTCTGTAAGAAACAGAGCTGCGAAGTCAGTACACAGCATAGTTATATACCGAGCAGCAGTCCTCGTGCACCCTAATTGTTCTACCTTTGGAGTGGCATATGAAGGTATGGACGATTAATGACGCAGGGCTTGAGTGAAAAGAAGTTAAAAAAATCTAATGGTCATGATTTAAGTAACCTTGGTTTGAACTTCAATCGATTGAGCAAAAATTCACAAAGTAAAACCAAAATAAAAGACCGAAATGAAGTGTCAATGCATGCGACCAGTGGTCTGCATAAGAAGCTCCCTTCTTTACCATGCCACCAAGAAACGCAGTATGACATATGCATGACATCGATCCTGACTTCCCAGCCACGTATTTGGCATGCTCTGGTCGGCCGGGCAGTTTCTCCAAGTGTCACAGTGGCTGTGGATACACAATGCCCGGCTACAGCTGGAGCGCAGAAACCCACGAAAATGGAACATTTGCCTAACTAGATGCAGTCCTCGGCGTACAATATGCAGACCTGCGGTAAGCGTGAATGATGCTGTCGACTTCAATACAAATGCATTCCTGGATATGAGGAAAATAGCCAAAACAGCATGAATAACCCACACACCCACAGTTAATGATATGCATACAGGTCATGCGTTACGACTTACGTCACTTATAAACGATGAAAAAGAAAATAAATACGTCAACTGAAACGTTATCAGCCAGACATGTATTGCCGCCCAGCATCAGCATCAGTTTTTTTTTTCGAAGGCATTAGATGTAACTTTAAGATGCCTTTTCAAAATTTGTGAAAGAGGTGAATGTCGATAGCGTTTGTCATGTCTAAATGAATGAAAATTAAGAAGAAAGATAATACAGGTTTCCCATAGCATCCAAAAATATGTACGACTGGCATTTTATGACAAAATTTGTTGTGATTCGTGCGTCAGTGTACAAAATATATATCATAAAGGCACAATCAGAAATAGTGAACAATCAGATAATGGATTGCGCTGTTTATTTTTAGCTGCAGCGCCTGCCAAAACATTTTTGTCGTTATTGGTTGACAGTTCGACTCGCCGTGTGTCAGGTTGTGTCAGTTGCTGCACGGAGAATGACACATCTCCGGTGACGCCTCGCGCGGCAGTCGGACGCTTTTTACGCGCCGCCGTACCACTCGATAACGTGGCCCGCGTCAGCGATCGGCCCCGTTCCGAATCACCCATCTGCAGGCAGAACAAACTGAAAATGGACGGCGGCCAAAAACGCCGCCAGTCCAATAAGAATAAACGACACTCCCACGACGAAAACGTCAAGCTGCAGTCATCACCGATAGTAAATTTCCCGAGAAAGGAGCAAGCAACTAGCAAGCGACAAAAAGCAAAACAAAAAGAAGCACGGCCAAGCGGTAGCATGCTGAGCAGCGACAGCGGAGCGGCGCCGGTTTCGGAGACTGACCTTGGCGTGGTTTCAGCTCGGCCATGTCCGCGCTGAGCGTGTCCGCCTCGAGTGTGACGAGCCCGCTCTTGCCGCGCTCCGACACCGCGTACACATGCACCACCACCTCCTCGCCGGGCCCGAGGCTGCCCAGCACAAACTCGGCCTGTTCGCTGCTCAGGTTGGAGAGCAGCACGTGTGTGCGCGCCTGGTACGCCTCCAGGTGGAAGGTCTGCGGGTAGCCGCCGGCCGCGCCGGCCGTGCAGCCGATGTGCAGCGATGCCTGGGTGCGGTTTCGGATGGCGCAGTCCGAGGGCGGCTCCGGCGGACCGACCGGGTTCGCTGTCGGAGGGCGTTAGTTAGCGTGCGCGAGCGACGGTCCTGAGTCCTGACCGCACCGTGAGCTGGCCGAGGCAGTGACAGACCAGAGACCAGAGACCGGAGACCAGGTCAGTCACAAGGCGGCGACTGGGTCAGAGTGAGAGAGAACAGAAACACAGACAGACAGGCAGACAGATAGACAGACAGACAGACAGACAAAAGGGTAGTGAAGTATCATACACTAAGGACAAACAATTACGCTTAAGACCGCGTTGTGAAGGCCTGTTGTAGTCACTAGCTCTAGCCTCCTCGTTTATCCAGAGAGCAGAAACATGTCAACGGTAAAGTTCATTGTGGCTTGCCGTTGCTAGCTGGAATCCTTTTATTATACCTTGACATTTCTGTTATCACCCGTGGCAAAGTGTTCCAACTATGACACACCCGGCCTTTTCATTTCAGGAATTCTCTGAACTTGAAATGGTAAGCCCAAGTGGACTAGAATACATAGAAGGGCGCTTTGTGGATGCATTATATAATCTCAGGATCAAAGTCTCGAGCTCGGCCATATTGCCTATATGATGTTAAGCCAGAGGTTATTGTTTCTGTACATATTTATCAATCAGCGTTTCCTCAACATACATCTGCGATTGTGACATTGAGAGGGCCGTTGAGGAGTTAAACTCTACTCTCAGCACTCTTATTATATTGACATCTTGGTAAAAGGAAGTACACATGGAAAGCGCCATTCGTATTTCAAAGAAATATTTTAGAAAGCCGAATTTCATATTTACATCCAGCAAAACAAACATTTTACGTCTGTCAGGAAAACTTTCCTTTCTTATGAGCGATGCGTATAAAATGTACTATAACTACTTCGCCTGGACCTTTATCTAGCCACCTCCAGTACCTACCCGACACCTGTCGTAGTCTCGTCTAGAATAATTCGCCAAAGGCATTGTTTCAATGTTGTTGACAGCTACCTACGCAATACGCATCAATGTATCTTTTTGGAGAGAAAAATGGAGAGATGGAGAGAGAGAGAGAGAGAGAGAGAGAGAGAGAGAGAGAGAGAGAGAGAGAGAGAGAGAGAGAGAGAGAGAGAGAGAGAGAGAGAGAGAGAGAGAGAGAGAGAGAGAGAGAGAGAGAGAGATAGAGAGAGAGAGAGAGAGAGAGAGAGAGAGAGAGAGAGAGAGAGAGAGAGAGAGAGAGAGAGAGAGAGAGAGAGAGAGAGAGAGAGAGAGGGAGAATGACAAAAAGAGAGCAGAGACACATAACATGTCGTGCTCAATTGCTCACCGATGGGTATGATGTCGAAGAGGCAGGGCTCCAGCTGCTGCCCGATGTCGTTGTAGCTGGTGCAGATGAGCGTGCCGAAGTCCTCGTCACCAGACGGCGTCATGGTCAGCTCACTCACCGTCCCGCTCGTGTGGATCCTGCGGGCAGCAGAGCCACGGGAGAGGTCAGTTTTGGAGAGGCACGGGAGAGGTCAGTCAGGTCAGAGGTCAGGTGGATAGGCGTGCTGTAAGGTACTGCGGCTGCATTGTATGCAGAGAAAATAAAATGCCGTACGTCTTATTGTGATATCTAGGCGGGTTATACACTTGCAAACGATGCTAAGTAAGTTATATAATGTAAATACATGTAAAAGTTATATTCATTGTGGTTGATAGCTTCACCGTAAAATACACACGTTGAGAACCATGCATGTCCAAGCAATAAATAACCCTGCATTGATCCTGTTTGTGTGAATAATCAGATTAATTTGTATCAAGGGATTTATTACATAAAAACAACCGCACAGACAGTCGACAGATGAACAATATTGCGCTGCAAAGAGTGCACAGCGTTAGCTCACGTGATCCGTCGCCGTCTCGGTCTCACCTATCTGAGGCGATCTGAACAAACTCGGCCGAGTTGTTGAGCTTCCACTGGAATTTGACGCTGGCAGGGTTCGCGTCCACCTGACAGGGTACAGTGACCTGCTCGTACTTGGCCACGTGGTACTGGCGCCTCTGGTTGGTCAGGCAGGCAGGAGCGTCTGCGGCAGAACAGAGCAGATGTGCGGTCAGAGAGATAGACAAAATAGCGACAACACAACAACCCTGCATAGTGCATACACTAGGGTAGGAAACTAGCATTTCAGTAGCACATTGTTGGCGCAATGAAATATGAGAAAGCAAAGGCATGGTACAGATTATTAAGACTGACAACCGGAATCCGCAAAGCAGTTATTTACAACCACTGTCACCTAAGTTTAACCTTTAAAGTTATATGATAATAAGTAGGTATAATTTGTATAATTGAATTAAAAACGAATACACTAAATCATCGAATTTACCGACATGACATTTCATGGCTAATTATGGATTTTTCGTAATTTGGACCATCTTAAGTGCATACTATTGTTTCATTATCTCCCAAAATATCACAGTTCATACAATTAATCTGTCATATGCATGTACCGAATATGCAATGCATACGTTCTCTAATTAAAAGGACCCCCATATCAAGGGCGTCACATGCTGAGGTTTAGGTAATAAAAGCGCCGTAAAACCGTAAATGGAGCATAGCTGACGAATCACAACCCATGCGCCTGTAAACTCGTCACTTCTGACAGAAACGCCTCATGGTACAGAGAAGTGAGAGCAGGCCTCCACAAACCGAGAAGACGTGGGAAAGTAGAGCCTCCCCCTTTATTTTAGTCGGTGAATGCAACATTTAAATTTCCAGCCACCGGGTATTTGTGGATACAATTGGAAAATCAGAATTACATATGCCTATAATTTCCCCATGATAAAAGATTAAATATGCCGTTTACAATCAACTAATGTAGCAACCTTCAAATGCTTAAATTGACACGAAAACAAATCGGGTGCGTATAACCACGCAGTTTCGCCGCCCGATGCATTAACAAATTACTACCTAGCGGTGCCCTCGCTGCACTTTCCCCGACGAAACCTCTACTGCCAAGCGCCCATTCCCGCGTCATTGGCACCAGGGGGAAGGGGAGGGTCAGGAGGGGGGTGGGCGAACATAATTTGCCGCTGGAAGGCCGACCAACCGACACGCGATAATACTATGCATCAGCGGTGGCGTCCGGGTGGCCATTGACGCTGCTGGCACAATTAAAAAGTCGCGCACGAAATTAATTGCCGCCGGTGGCGGGCACCAGTTGCCGTGGCCAGTGGCCAGCTGCTGACAACCGTTAAAACCCGTTCAGCTGTCCAGTCTGCGGGTAACTGACGAGCTGGCAACCGATACGAAATGCGCTGCGTTGTGGTCGCCATCTTGGGTGTTTTAGCATGGAGGGCCATTATATAAAATTTCTGTGATCCGAATTCCGAGGGTAAGTGTAGGTTGGAGATAAATTTGGAGATAAACAAAAACTTATTGCAGCAAATAGTTTCTGAATAAAATGCGCAAGTTACGATATTATACTCGGCTATAATTGCAGAGTGATGAACATCGCTATATTCAGATTATTTCGAATAGAACAATTAATTACTAACACTTAACCCGGCAGTTGCTGGGGTATTTCGCCACCCACCGTTTGCTGAGGGGGGGGGGGGCGTTAAACGCCCCCAGCCGATAACTCGAGAACCAATTGGCGCAGCGAAACGCACGAGGCGGCAAAGGAAAGAACGCGACGAGACGCTTCAGATGAGTACTTTTAAGTTGAATTTTGAGGTCACAGGTCGGGTCAAGGACAGATCAAACACCTGAAATCGGGCTTTCAGTAGCATGGACTTCAGGGCTTCGCAATGGGCGCCTCTCGTCATAAACTCTGTCAAAACGGTGCACAATCCATCATGTAAGGCCTACAAGAGTGTCAGCTCCATGTAGGGGTCAGTCAAGCATAGGTCAGGGTCAAGGTCAGGTCAACCGGGTAGGCACATATCCCCGAAAATCAAAACTGATATTCGCAGCCTGTGACACATGTTTTATGGGTAATTTGGAGCGTAGAACACGATGGTGACATTCATTTTATCATATGTGTACGTGGTTGGCTCAAAAAGTTCAATTTAAGAAATTCATGTATCATGGTCATGAAGTAGTCACGAGAAATTGCCAAGATTCAGTTCAAGATTTTGGAAAATGCGGAACGATAATCAAAAATCGGAGATGGTCATTTGATTGTTCATGGTATGTGCAGTCTAATGGCGTTTACGGCATGTCTATATGTCTATTCTGTGATTTTATATGATTTTTTGAACATATGCCGTTTTTGGTCGAAAACTCAGAAATCATGACGTCACTAAAACCTCAATATCTCATTGGCGCGCCTGCGACGCGCCGTTTTTATGCTATGGCCCGGCGAAAAAAGGGGGCGTTTAACGCCCCCCCCCCCCCCCCCCCAGCAACTCGCGGGTTAATACCACCAGAGTACTAGCTACCAGGACTACCAGGAACACGGTAAGACGAGAGAGCAGATTCAGTAGTTTTCCAGCAATACAAGATTGCAAAAGCTGATGTTTAATAACGGTGATTCTTGGAGAAACTTTTACAATAAAAGACCAGCTTAAAAGGTCTCGGTGTGAGCAATACATGTTTTGGGAAGAGCTATTCCGAGCTCCGTCTCGTTGCATACTAAGCACGAATTGTTCATGTGCAGTGTTGAATTACGCGGAGAACGAATAACATGAGCATTGTGAAGACATGGAAAGTTATTTGGTGACCTTTCATGACACTCATTTCACCAGAAAAGGTCACTATCTGCCGGCGACCGATATTGTTTTCCTTCGAACGCCGCGGGGTCTGCATCTCATAAATCAGGTACGACAGACAAATGGCCGCTCGGAGGCCGGCCGATATTTCTCAACACACCGTTACATGTCGTCTGGGACAGACTTTGTCCATGACCTGTCTCTCCCACGAGTCCTATCCTACCCTACCCGGTCATACATTGTGCCGGCTGCAATACAGGACAGCAGGGCCTTATCGCACCCCGATCGGGCGCTCAGATACGGCGTGACTCCGCATTGATTTCCATTGGGAGTCACATAGCTAGAATAGGATTTGTGGATTGATGTTTGAAGTTCAAGGGGGGAAGCACCGGATGCTTTAAAGGTTAGAAGGTTAAATATTATCACAGATTATATTTATACGACACACTGTGAATAATTTTCGTGGCATAGTTCGTTTGACATGAAACAAATAATAATTTCATTTGGTGCATAAATGTTCACCAAATCAAAGGCTCCACGAACTGAACGGATAACATTTTCCATTTATATCCACGTCTGCAAATACTACTCAATCGCAGCAGCTAGCTGGTGGGTGAGGTTTTACACCAGACGTAAAAATAGCCACACATCGCGCCAACGCGAGCAAACTTGACACCCAGCTGTATTATTTGCAGAAGTGGACGGGTCTCTGTTTCTCCCTCCCTCCCTCTCTCCCTCCCTTCCTCCCTCCCTCTCTCTCTCTCTCTCTCTCTCTCTCTCTCTCTCTCTCTCTCTCTCTCTCTCTCTCTCGCTCTCTCTCCCCACACTCGCCACTCACGCTGTATGCTGAGCTGGACGGGGTTACTGACGTTCTCGCCCTCACTGTTGGCCACGCGGCACACGTAGTGACCCGACCTGTGTCGGGTCAGACGCTGCAGCACCAGAGACATGTTGCTCATGACGATGCCCTCCCGTTGGTTTGGCTGAAGAACGTGGCCCTGAGGGAAGAGTAACAGGTGCGTACACGCCTGTTAATTAGAAGCACATTGCTGATTCTTGCATGAGAGATAATTGAAAACGTTTGCATTCTTAGCAGGTAAGTGAAAATGAACCCTATGAATACCAGCTATAACCAGGAGAAAATTACCTTGATTCATAATTCGCTTATTGGTTTGTTGCCAAGTTTTATTATGCTATTTCTACTTGCTTGGTAGGACATTTGAGATCACTTGCCATGCGCTTTACATAACGCAATCAAGCTATATGATAATGTTTACTTTGAATTTATGATTGCCCGAGGCGAACTCACGTCATGAAGCCACTCGATTTGGAAAATGGTCGGGTTGGCTCTGACCCGGCACTCCATGTAGACGTCATCTCCTTCCCTGAGGTCGGCAGGGTTGATCGGCTTTCCAACAGTCAGACTGACCTCTGGGGGATCTGTCAACATGTCACAGGTCATGTGTCAGACCGTCTGTCTGTCAACATGATCTTTGGTTTGTCAACATGACCATATGTCTCGCCGGTAGGTCGCTATGGCAGAGGTCAACTGTCACTATGTTATGGGTTACCTGTCATGGTGGTTTGTCAACAAGGCACAGGTCAACTGTCTCGTTAATTTGTCATAATGTCATAGACCTTTGGTATTCTGTCAATTCTAGAATGGCATCGATCCGTCAGCCTATCAAATTACCACAGGTCAACTGTCATGCCGGTTAGCCATGTTACCTGCACAGATCAGTTGACACCCCAAATCAATAAACTATGTGAACAATATCGTAATAGTCAATAAGGCACTCCATACAGAAGGACAGGAGCTGGCATTGTCAGCGGAAGAACCGTGGATGCTTGCATGAAAATTAGTCACGATGCACTTCAAGGTAATGTGGAGGAAAGTGGTATTACAACCTTTTCAAAGAGGGAGGGTATACGAGTGAGCGTGAAAGTATCCTAGCAGAACATGTCAACATAAACTCGGAAAATCAAAGTAGGCATGCCATTTATATTGAAAGCGAATGAGCCTTAGCAGTAAACTTAACCCGCGCACCGACGCACAGTGTGGCCAAACGCCAGATTAGCGCGAATTTAATCAAAAAACGAATTTTGGAATTTTGACTTTTTATAACCATCAGTCGATAGGAAATTGTCCAAAGTATGTTAATATCACAATACTTTGGTTCAATGTCTTCCTTTCGGTGTCCAAAAAGCTAGCTAAAGTGGACATACGCAGTGCCGGTCCCGGCTGTGCTGAAATCGTCGAAAACCCGCGTCACGTTTACAACACATTTTGGCGTAATTGTCGGAAAGGTTTGGAAATAATTGGAGTGGCATATGACTACTGAGCCTATATTTGATACCATACCCGAATTCTATAGGTATCCTTGGACTAACCGATGAGTTATGCTCATTTGAAAATGACCTTTTCAAACATCCCCTGAAAACACTGTGCATCTTAAAAACGTAGAGATATAAGAAAATGGCCAAAAAACTCCACGCCAAATCTACCATGAGAAGATTCGCCACACTTTTCTGGACATGATCCATTCAAGAAACCCTGCCCCAACCTGCCCCCCGGCCTTTGGCTCAACTTTGAACGTATCGGGTTGGCCCGCCCGGGGAGGCCCGGCTACACGGGGGTGGGCGCAGTGGCGGCTCCGTCATATTACGCGGATGGCTCAACCGCTGCATTTCTTACTTTTTATATTGCAGAATACGGTCGCCGATGAATGAATCTTGGCAATTTTTAACCCTCGCCCGTATAGGGGGAGGGGGTCGAACTCTCGGTTTTTCGCAAAAAGCTCGCGTAAAAAGCGGCTGATCGCGACGAAACTTTCGGTGCCCTCGGGTTTATCAATTTTACACCAATCCTAAAAATTTCACGACCCTAACCCCAAGGACCTTTGACCTGTGACCTATTCCTCGAAACCATGTTTGGTCGGAATCGCGATTCGGCGTATGTTTGTCTGCATTAGCCGAGCGTTTGCAGTCTTTTCGTGGTTTCAAGCGTTCAAACATATGCTATGATGTTGGTCCATAATGGTTGTATTGTATTTGTATTTGTATTTACATTTAAGAGCGATCCACATACAAAGTGCGTGGCGATTACTGCTCAGAATCCGTATCCGCGGTTGCTAATCTAATCATTCAAAACAGTTGCACATTCACTCACGTCAAAACAAGGACAAAACACTCTCAGGACAGCCTCATCGCTTTTACCCACCCCTATCCTATTGGTCAGCGACGATGTGCTGATTCATCGTCCACGATTGCGGCTTTAACAGCGCGGGCGAAGCGGGCGGGAGGCAGCTGCGACAGGTGAGGTGGCAGGCTGTTCAGCAGAGCTGCAGCTCGATAGCCAAACCGCCGCTTGCCCGTTTCCAGCCGTGGACGGGGAAGATGGAAGAAGTGATCTTGCCTGGATGGTCTCTCGCGGATAGCGCTATTAGCGACGAACAGGGCTGCTAGTTGCTCAGGTTCACGGCGCTGTATGACCTTGTGTGCGATGACAAGGGTGTGGAAATCGGACATACCGCGCGGGGACAACCACCCGAGTTTTGTTCGCAGGTCGGAGACATGGTCAAATTTACGGCGGCCGAAAATAACTCTGGCGGCGAAGTTAAGAATTTTTTGGAGTCGATCGAAATTTTTTTGGGACCCATTACCATAAACTGAAAGGCAGTACTGGATACGCGATACAACGAGTGCCGTCACGAGCGTTCGAATGATGCCATCTGGGAGACAGTGGCGCGCATGTGAAAGACCAATCAACAGTCCCGTACACCGGCGGCAGAGTTCAGAGACGTGTGCGTCCCATGACATAGTGCTGTCAAAAGTGACGCCAAGGTTCCCGACTTGTGCGCACGGTTGCAACGCTGCGTTGCGGAATGGTACTCTAAAGTCTGGTAATATACGAAGATTTTGACGAGTGCCAAATACAATAAGCTGTGTTTTACTTGCGTTCACTTTGAGGGCGTTAGCGCAAAACCAGTCGTTGAGAGACGCGAGCGAGTCCTCCATGCGCGAGATGAGAACTTCGAGGTCCCGAGCTGGACCGCTAACCAATACTTGAGTGTCATCGGCATACTGAAACACTTTTGCGTCGCCCGCGTATAGCGATAAGTTGTTAGAGAAAATGGTGAAAAGAAGCGGCCCCAACGCAGAGCCCTGGAAGACACCCATGGCATTAGAAAGAGGTCTAGACAGCACTCTACGTCCGGATACATCTTTCAAAGACACGCTCTGAGTGTGTCCATGTAGATAGGCGGCGAACCAGGAAATTTCAATGCCGTGTAACATCAGTTTTTGCATCAGAAGATCGTGGTCAATCACGTCGAAACATTTACTGAGATCGAGAAGGCATAGCATTGACAAATCCCCCCTATCAGTGGCGGCCAGGATGTGTTCAGTGACAGACAGCAACGCGGTTTCCGTGGAGTGCCGGGGGCGGAAGCCGTGCTGGGAGGATGCCAGAAGGTGATTATGGGAGAGGTAGGCGTAGAGCTGCTGATGGACAATGCGTTCAACTACTTTCATGATTACAGGAACTAGGGAAATGGGTCGGAAGTTTGCGGGGTCTGAAGGGTTACCAGACTTGAACAGAGGGTGAACTATGGAATGTTTCCATGAATCGGGGATGTCAGATTGGATTAAGCAGGTATTGATAATATGCAGGATGACACCACCAATAGCGGGGAATCCGAATTTCAGCATGCGGACACAGACGTTATCGGAGCCGCAGGCACTCGAGTTACGCATGCTGAAAATAATCCGCTCGAGCTCCCCCAGTGTTATCTCACGAAGTTGAAAACTGCATGCGCCGACACGGGTGAGACGCACATCCAAATCGGTGGGAGTGTTTTGGGCTCGGATCTCGTCAGCGACACGAGGACCGACAGATACAAAAAATGAATTTAAATCATCGGCAGATAGATCGGGCTGGACGTCTGGGCCGTCCTTCTTCGCGGCTACCACTGACCTGATGCACTGCCAAACTTTGTTGGGGCCCCGCTCCCCAATTTCCCTCCGTATCTCTATTCGCCTGTCTCGACGCACTGCCGCCCGGACTGAGCGGGTTTTGCCACACTGTGCGACGGGGGTCTGCGCCAACTTAGTACCGACGGGGGGGGGGGCGGATGACCGCCCCCCCCCCTTAGATCTCGAGAACGAAGCAAGATAGCGACAAGCGGTAAACGGCATCGGATACGCACGGTCAAGATCTACAATTTTTACTAAGGTCATTTTCAGGTCAGGTCAAAGATGACGTCACAAGGGTCGAAAAAGTCAAAATGGCGGCGCTAAATATGGAGAGAGTTTTTCTCGAATAACTTTCGAATTAGTCAAGATAGGAACAAACTAAGGGCTTCATCGTGATCCTCTCGTCAATCCGCATCGAATGATATATATGTTGACCTCGAAAGGTCAAGGTCAAAGGTTGACCTCAGGTCACGTGACCTCGAGGTCATCATGTATATCATTCGATGCGTCTTGACGAGCTGAACACAATGAGACTATCCACGCGTCTGTATCTTGTTCCTGTACGGAGTTATTGGCCAAAAACCTTTGGTGACCTTTGATGACGTCACATGACCTCACAGCTGCCCAACAGCAAAACAGACCTCAAGGTAGTGAAGGTTGATCGTATATGAAGTCATGTATGGTATATGGGGTCATTCCGACCCGTTTTAGTGGTAAAAACAGGGAGTTGATTTTTCCCCCATTGACTTATAATGGGGAGGTCGCGAAATTGACCTGACCTTAGGTCACCGATATCAAAATTCCGAGATATACAAATTGTAGCTACTAATGACCTAATAACATCCTGCGACTTTCAAAGGCCTCCGACATCTACTGTAGCTCTGGCACGGTGACAAAGTTGCAAAAAAGTGACTTGAGGTTGGGTCATTCAAAGTGATCTGGTGACCTGACCTTGAAAGGTAGGAGGTTCAAACTTGCACACCATGTGTAAAATTGATAAGGGAATAGTCATACCAAATTTCGCGGCGCTACGCGCCGCGGTTTTTGCGCTATTCGCGAAAAACCTCAGGGGGGGCGGATATCCGCCCCCCCCCGTCGGTGCGCGGGTTAAGTCATTTGAGAAACAAATGCCTCTTCTAAACAACCACACGACATAAACCGTCTAATTGTCAGCAACCATATACATTATACATAGCTCGAATGTAGAAAACCTCTAGTTAGGTATGTCGTACATTTGACGGTGATTCTCCAGGCGTCTTCCATGACTGTGGAGTCCATCTCGGGGTTGGTGACGCGACACGTCAGGTGTTTGCCGTTGTGCTCGCGGCTGGCGTTCAGTGACAGCACGCTCGTCGTCTCGTTACCGTCCAGAGACGTCTGTAATGAAAATATCGTGTTATTGGTTAGTAGCATTATTAGCCGTGGCATGGCCGTGGTATTGCATGGCGGCCCACCTTGGTATTGACAAGGCATTGGCTAAAATAAGGAAGCGATGCCTTCTTACTCAGCATGGAAGCCATTGTCGGAAATTTCCAAGATAGTTGAGTATAAATTTATATAAGTGCTTGCCAGAAAACTCATGCGGTTGCGACTTATGAAGTATTGTAAGGCTTTCATCGCCCCTACACATCCATAAAACGTATTGGAATTCGTGAATTACAGAGGCTTTAATTCAAACTATGACACTGTATTTGCATTTCAATACGACTCTCATTCTACCCAATTCATAGTCGAGCCATGTTCCTTATTCAAATTGTACACCGAGCGTCGCATTACATTCATTTCATAGATGGCATCATCATCGGAATAATTACAGGTTGAGTACGTACCGCAGTTTTATTACTCATGAGCCACTTGCCGCGTGAGCAGCTCATTAACCTATATGGTGTTATTGGTGATGTACGATATGGCTACGGTGATATAATGGTATGTCACTTGAATGCTATATGCATACGAATATGCAGCATTTTCCATAGAGATCTTATAGGTATACATTTTTTTTTCTGGCCTCGCTTATTTTCTGGCCTCGCGACTTGGCACAGTCAGTCAGTCATCCAGTGTTTCCTAGGACCACAGAAATTCCCCAGCTTTCCGGCCGGCGAAAATCACGTCAGCGACTGCCTATGCCGCCCAGGCCATGGGACGCCCAAGGAACGAGCAACTTTCATTCTTGATGGCTTCGGCAAATATATTCAGGTCCCGCACCAGCGTGGGGCTATGCTTTGTAGCCAAGCAGCAAAGCTCAAAGCTAATTTACCGTCGGACGTAATATGAATGTATGCAGAGTATGTAGGGGCGTTTCAAATCCGACATTGGTTATGCACGAGGCGGCGGGCCACAGGGAGTATTAGTCGAATTATCGTACCACTGATCCGATTAGGATGCAGTTTTGGTGCCAAAGCTTCCAGAATTCAATATATCTTCTGAAGATCTATCACAGTCCAGGATTTAGCTGCACGCCCACGGCCAAGGATTAGTTGGAATTCGGACGTGATTCAAAATATCCGCGTGCTTGGCATTTCTTTTACATGATAGAAGTTTCCTTTCGGAGGCGAGCAAATCGCTGTATACCTACTTGGAAAATAGGGTGACATTTCCCGGTTCAATAATTGTCTATATACTTATGTCCATAGCTGCATTACCCGCACAATACCTGTTTAGGAAGCGTTTTATTTTTATTATAACTAATCCAAAACGGACGGACAGATGCCACGGCCGACCAACGTCGACTACCCCTACCCCCAACCCCCTATCCCCTCCCCCGTCACTTCTAGAGCCGGGTCGATGTGTTCATTAGCGAGCGGCACGTGGCAAAGATAGAGGAGACCATCCAGCACCGGGGCCCACTCGGCACTCGAAAGATCTCTGTATACCTACCGACAGGTCCGCCCAGTATACGCGTCATCCCCGCACCCAGTGTAGTTATAATCCGGGCAGTAAGGGTAACAACAAGTGTGTAAATTAATGTATTTGACATCAGTCGAAATTGCAAGATATGATACTTCCCGCCAATGTCGGCTAGGTTTGTTGTTTCTTCCGTAGACTACATACGCGTCATGTAGCTTTTTTTTTGTCAGCGGAACAGTAGCTCACATAAGCGCATGTGTCTTGAAGCGTAAAGCTCAATTATGATTACCCTGTAGTTTTTAGCGACGCTTATGACAAGATTCAATTGGGGTGCCTAAGCTATACGAAACTTTTTTTTGCATCAGTTATATAAATGGACATCCGTGCGTCGTATTGAATCGATAGCAAGTTTTTATAGCGCACATTACCGGGAAGATTTACAAATATCACCATACTATTGAGACCGTGACAGGTTTTCAGTAAAAGTCTTCTTATATGCTATTGATACCGAATCTCTATCAGTATGACGTCAATAAGGGGCAAAACGGGCCAATGGAGCGCACAGATCAGAGTAAAACTGTCTCACTTTATCACTGTGAACGTTTTATTGAGAACTACCGACGGAAATAGCTTGCTGCGTGCAATAGAGTCAGAGAGCCGGCACTGAAAGCGGTGGTGATTCATTCAATTTCCTTGGCCTGACAACATGTCTGAGGGGAGGCACTGTCATTTAACATCTGGAGCCAGATAGTCACATCAATGTGCACACCAACCTAATGCTATAAAAAGATGTTTGAACTTGAACGCATGGCCAGTCAATAGGGCAAGCAGCGTCGTGTCCCTAACGGTGTTCCTGGAGTTGTGATGAGCTGGTTGCCATCGCGACTGGATGGATGTAATATACAGGAAGGGTTTTAGACCCGTCTCGTCCTTACACTGGTGGCCACCAGTGCGCACCGGTTATCATCGGCATCTTACCTGGATTGTGTAGTCCTGCAGCTGGACATCATGAATCCACCACGTGATCTGCGGCTGAGGACGGGAGCCGGCCGTCTTACAGGTCACGTGGTGCACGCGGCCCAAAGAGAACGCCCGGTTTCTTCCTACCAGGCGCACGTAAAGCGGAGGAACTGAAAATACACAAGAAAAGCAGATGATGAGCGATGGCTTTCTATAGGGCAAAACTACATAGTAGCTTGTTTTAGTACACAACTTTTCCTAACTAAATTCACAAACCATTATTCTCACCGATAAAGACTATCATGCAAAACGCCATGGGATTGGCAGCAATAACTTATACGGAACGAAGATAATAATAATAATGGAATCTAATTAATCATCATGCAAACTGCCGTGTCATTTGTATAGCCACCCAGAAGTAATTGTATTCTGGTAATTCACGGAGACATAACACGCGAGGCTTCTGCGTGTAACGACTAGATAACCAACCAGGCGAGACACGCACTTGTGCAATCGAACATTTATATGTAATTCAGGGGCAGATCCAAATCGATTTCATGCACATTATGTGCATTTATACCCGGCTAACAAACGAAAAGTAGACAATCCCACAGGAATCTACATATGAACACGTCAGGTGTCGTGCGGGAGGCTCATTACCTCGTAAAGTCCATCGTCATAACGGCAAAAATACGGGACGTATTTTACAGGAATGCATGAATACGACCATGGAAGCCATAGGCCTGAGGAGAATAGCACCGTAAAACATGGAGCGATAAGGGCTGGTGCGGATACGGCGCTGGGTTGAACAGGACGTTGGTGACTCAGTACTGTGCTGTTGTAGTAAAACAGAGGCAGTAGGCCTTTACAGTAGCATTGTTGAGACGTTTTTGACTCTACCGGCTCTTTGGATTTCTTACTCTAGCGTTATGAAACAAGACTCTCGGAATCAATAAACTCGCAAATCATGAAGCGGGAAACATGTACGGTGTTGCTAGTGGTGCGCTGCTGCTTTAATTTCATAAAATTAGCACTTGCCTTCGCTCAACTGGAAATTATTCAGCCATTCTGCGAACGGGGCTCGTCGGTTTCCACGCCGCGCCTCCTGGGACACCCGGCAACTGTACGGACAGCCGGCGACAGGCTCACTTCACCAGTCGGTAGTCTACGGCCGTTCAGAGAACTCCTGGCCCACTGCTAATTCGAGAGGCAGTTACCGGAGCCACCCCGGACCCAACTAAAACCTGTGTCAACTTTTCAGCGCGAGAGCCTCGCAAGCCACGGCTGCTGCTGGGGTGCCGGGGAACATGGAGCCGCCGCAGTGCCAGGAAGCTCTCAGCCGCTCCCCGGTAGCACGGTTCGACGTTCGACAGCCGGCGTGTCGCCCCTCCATCGGTGCCGACACGTCGGTAGACGCACGGCGAGGAGCGCTGCGTCGAGTGGGCCACTTGTATTCAGCCGGAGGCCGACGTTGCGACGGCGGCTCAACTTGGGATCAGAGGCCCAACTAGCCGGCCAGGACGACGGGCAAATGGTACTGGCGTGGAGAGGAGAGAGAGAGAGAGAGAGAGAGAGAGAGAGAGAGAGAGAGAGAGAGAGAGGGAGAGAGAGAGAGAGAGTCGATAGCAGTGCCACGTGTCCCCCCATCAAAGAGAACCGGCTGAACTACATCAACTGGATCAAACTCGGTCCTCTCGGCGGTGACGGCGAACGCTCAGAGTTTGAATCGTGTCGCGCTATTTGGTACGCCAAATGTGTCAGCCGGATCCCAATCAGTATTCAGCACCAGCGGTGCAAAACATGCGACCGACTGATGTTTGGCTTCACTTCGGTTAAAATCTCCGTTGACGTATCTTCTCTTCGCAAATATTGCAACAGACGGACTTATGAAGGTATGGCAAGCCAAATTTACAATGACCTGTTATTTAACATTTTTAAGTCGTTCATCACTCGTTCTTTATCTGTTCCCGTATATTTCTTTTCCTGTTTCCTCACATTCAGGCCACCGATCTTTACCCGTCCTCACCCATTCCGCACCCACCACCCACCACCCCCCCCCTCTCTCTCTCTCTCTCTCCCTCTCCCTCCCGTCCCACCTCGCCCGTCCCCTCTGCCCGCGCACACTCCATCGGCTGCCCGTGGCGCTCTGCACCGTCCATGTCGACCTCCCGCGGCGCGCCGACTCCGTCGAGCGGCAGCTCTGTTTGTGTTGGAGCTGTCGGCGCCGACGCGTCGGCTCGGTGCACCTGGGTGGTGCGACGCACCGCCCAGCCGGCGACAAATCAAAACCCGAGCGGCGCGCTTCCATCAGCGCCAGCAGACACTAAACATCGGTCGGGCGGGGAACGACGAACGGTAGACGGTTTGTGGTTCACGGCAGATGACACAGACGGTGGGCGAGAGACGAACTACGACAGACGAGAGAGACGAGAGACGACCGCCGACAGATGACAGACCACAGACGATTGACGATAAACGATAGACGTCTGACAACGGACTGCAAACGAATGACGTACAGACGATAGAACGAATACGACGAACGACAAACTGCATCGGCCCTTCAAACCACTCCACTCTGCTCTCGCTGGCGGTGCCGCCGCCTGTTCCAGTAATCCCGCCCGGGCTGAGAGGATGCAATCAGAGCGGCCAGCTGCCCAGATAGGCCCGGTAAGACCGTCCGGCGGCCCTCGGCTCGCCGCCGAGCCGGCCGGCCGGCCGCGCGCCGGCCAGTTTCATTTCGCTGCCAGCGGTGCAGCCAATCCGGGGAGTGGCACCCTCGGCCGCCGGCTGCCAGACCAGATAGACGTTATAAAGAAGGAATGCCACGACTTTCAGGAAATATTTAAATTCACAACATTCGGAATCGGTTTTATTAGAAAGTTCAGGGAAACCGCTGCTCGCGGTAGATTCGTGGTTCATTATTGGAAATAGAACAGACTTTTCCCCTTTATGCTTCGCATATCTTAGAAGGGAAGGAGGTCTTCGTATGTAAAATGATTTGTGAAATTTTCCTCATTTCACAATTATGCTGATTGCTTGGTCATACGCTTAGCAGTCACGAAACTGCTGCTATTCAAGAAAAGAAAAAAAAAACACGAATAAAAAAGTAGTGCTCCGAATAACATTGTATAATGGAAATAGAGGCAAAAGCAAGAACATTTATCAAATTATTGTGCCACTAGGGCAAAGGGATGAGCGGCATTGCACTCGCAAGCTAAGGTAACTCAAGTCCGTTAACCAAATTACGCAAACAATGACAAAGAAAATGCTGCTATATTAATCCCCATGTACGAAGTTACTAAATTTTGCATTGTCTCTGATAAGCCAAAACATCAAATCCCATTCGAAATACTCCGCTGTCGCGATTTGAGCCGGCTCCGGACCCGCCAGTTCCGCTCCCCACCACCGGAGCAGCGCGCCGGCTGACTGCGCTCATTGCCGGCATTTATCGACCAGTCGGCTTTATGGGCCCTGTCACGCATGCACGGTTTATGACGTATAACTATATAACACCCACTTAACAGCTCCATCAATCACTTCAGCATTGATATGAGGCTTTGAAGCTGAGCTGACACGCCGTCTAAGCCAACAGCTCGGCGAGCTTTTACAGCTGCGCCCGTCGGTCAGAGGGTACACGGAGGGCGAGAGGCTGGGAAAGCTCGTAACATCACGGAAAATGAGCTCCGAGAGCCGCTGCTGAAGGTGCGACTCCGTGGTTAGGATGGTATAAGAAGTCGACCAATGTCTGCTTATGTCGGCGGCCCCCAAACGATTTGTGTTTTCTGCAGACTGCGGTCGTGCTTTCGTATGGATGATGCGATGGATTATAGATATCTGGTCCCATTTCTGAAAGTCATCTTCCAGAAGTCTAATAGGCGGTAAACCGGGCTTCTATTTTGTTTCTGTTGTGTAAAGCTAAGACAAAGGTTCACAAATCAGTGATAGGCTCGTGCTCGGTCGGTACTCACAGTAAGTTTTGAGTAGGACGCTGCTGGAGAGCGGCTTGCTGATGTTGTTGTTGGTGGCGTGGCAGGTCAGGGTCTGATCGACGTCCGACCGAGAGATGGCAGGCAGGTGGAGCACACTGCGCAGCACGCCGCTAGATGTCACCACGTGCGCATTGCTCAGCAGCGTCGGTCCGCGCCACCACGAGAGGGACGGCGCCGGACGACCTGCGGAACCCGCAGCAGGTCAAAAGGCGCGCACTCGAACGAACGGACCAGCTGTTGGACCTCTTTTTTTTGACAATGCTAGGATTTTGCAAGATACTTGGATTGCTTATTTAAAAAAGTAACCAGGGAAATTTTACATTTATTTTCTAACCAATGCAAAAATACAAAAAAAATTGCACACATATATACCTGAGTATGCTTGTCAGTGTTATCTGTTATTGAAGCCAAATGCCACCACTTTATTACCCTACCCATGCATTCTAAGATTTACTCCAAAGACTACCTACAAATGCTACCACAAACTGCAGTATCAGGCACATGAAAGTGTTTGAGCTACAATACCTGCAGTGTTCTGCTGTGATGAACAAAAGTTAATTAGCGTTGCTCTACCAACTTGACGCTAAGTGCGCCTGCCTGTCGCTCAGACAACATGATAGCCTGTCTGCGGCTGTGTCCGTCTGTTTTATGTTTATGTGTACGACCCGCAAAGTGCGGCAGAGCGACCTACCTCCGCGTGTTTCGCAGCTCAGCTGGACCTTGTCCCCCTCGGTGAGAGGCCCGAGGATGTCTCCCACCCGGTCTCCGGTGGGCAGGCGAATCACAGGTCGAGTCGGAGGCACTGAAACAAAATAATCAGAACTTGTTAACACAATATTGCAAAACAGTTACAAAAGAGAAGAGCTGCAAATATAAAATGCATATCTGTGTATGGTGCACTGAAAACTTTTTTACCATTTCCTGAAGGGTAAACCCGCCATAGCATGGTAGCTTGACACACAGACGTTTTTTACCACCTTCCAGATGGTAAATTTTACTCTTTCATGAAGAGTAAACTCGCCAGGGAGGGGTAACATGACACACAGACGTTTTTTACCATCTTCTGAATGGTAAACTCTTTTGATTTACTCTTGTCTAGAGTGTAACATTTTTTTGGGTTACACTCTTTGAAAGGGTAAATCTTAAACGGAACCCTTTTCTAGGGAGTAACGCATCATCTACTCTGTGCTTTACCCTCCTACAGAGAGTGTATTCTTCTGGCCTACCCTTTGTCACATGGTAATGTTTACTCTTTCCTTTAGTGTAAACCCCCCAGAGGATGGTAACAGACTCACAGACGCTTGCTTCAGAAGCTTCACGAAGCTTCTGTTAACCGGAGCTCACCAACTAAAAAAACATGCTTCAAGAGCAACAATGTATATTTGGCTTCCGTACAAACAATACGAGGGACACACCAGCAATGAACATTGTGAGACTCTCCACTTATGCATACGAATTTATACGAAGCGTTCAGCAATGCACAAGCGGTAAATAAACACCACGATACAACTTGAATGCACTTTGAATGTGAATACAAGACATTCAGCGCCCTCATATTGGATAAGGCACAGCGCACAATATTTGAAGAGAGCGACGGCGTTCCTGGGTGGTCGCCCGTATGCGTGAGATAATGAGACTGGATCACTACAGTGCAAGGCTTTTTCAAAGTCACCAACAAAATGCATAAACTTGTAGCATCACAACAAAATTAATGTACGTACTCATAACCTAGGCCACGTGGCCGTGCACGGGGTCCTGTTAACCAGGTCAAATTAACACCACTCAGCGGCATGCAATGCTCTAGCACATCGGTACTTACAATAAAATGTCCACAGAGGCTCTATAGGCGATGAACAACACGCAAGCACAATCACCAACGGCCACGCCACGCGGCACCGACACTGCTCACATCCGCTCTCGGAGACCAACGGCCGAAAACTGACAGATGCGCGCGGCCTTCAAACCGCAAACGGCCGATCTCGTTTCTGATTGGCTGAGTGATTCCATTTCAAATATCATCTTCACGAGGGTAAACAAGATCCACGCATGAAACGACTATCTGTACACGAGTCACGATACCCAAAAGGAAAGAGTTTTCGTGATGTTCTGGATCGCGAGAGTAATATTGATATTTACATGGTAATAATACTCTTCGCTGGCGAATAAGTTCATATCAACCACGTACCGTTACTATGCACATAATGGTAGCAAAGAGTTACCCTTTCAATATACTCTTATCTTGCTAGTTTGATGAAAATGAATCCTCCAGGAGGTAGTAAAAAAGTTTTGAGTGTTGGCATCAGGCATGTGCGATGCTGACCACTAGAGGATCTGCACTTTCCCGGTGCCCCGATTTCCTTGGAAATTAGGTGCCCGTAGTGCTTCTGTTCAGGGGTGTATGATCAAACAGGCTGGGACCGGTTCACCTCAGGGCTCAGTCGCGGACATTTCAGTTATCTCTCAGGCTGAGGTCAACCATAAAATTAGCCGGTCAGGCCACCATACGGCCGGTGAGCGGACGCGCTGGCGCGTGCCGGGCAGACCGGACTCAAATCAGCCGGCTCATGTGTCCCTCTAACGACCTCTCGCCGGCCGGCGACCAATTACTGCCCAGGAGCGGCCACCTCGGTGTCGGCGGCGCTCCGGCGCGCGGCGTCATTAACACCGCTGGTCGTCCGGAAAATGCCCCGGGGCGGCACTGGCGGCAGCGCGCCATTGGCGGCCGCGGCCAGGTGTGCCAGTGGGCGAGCGGTGCCGAACGGGCCCGTCCTGCACCGCTGCCGCCGGACGTGACCGCCGGTAACGCCGTGGGAGGTAACGATCGATCGACGGCACCCAGCTCGGGACGACGCGGATCAGACGGCGGCTCACCGGCGGACGGGAAGATTGGGAGGGATAAGCAGGGCATCGATAAATAAACCGAGCACTGGTCTAACCACATCGACTCGAATGACGGAAATGACCCGGCCAGGCGCGAGCCAAGTTCACATCCGCGGCCGTCAGGTCGGCGTTTTGCAGCGCGGCCGGACCATGTGTCAAACTCGGCCGACCGGCGGCGAAATACATGACGCTTCCTGGCAGTAGACTTCAACTGTCAAAGCGGCCTGTCGCGAGCCAGCGGCCGGCGCCGTCTTCCGATCCGGACCTGGCAAACTTGTGGAGCGCATCGCCGGCCAGCGCAGGCGACAGGCCGTCGCCAGCGGCGGGAGATGTGTCCGGCACTGGCCTGGAAATACTGCGCACACACGTGGACGCCCCAGTGCACCCAGCGGCATCTCCATAGCTCGAGATACGTTTTAAAGCATATTTCTCAGCCAAGATTATTTTTAACCGGGATCATTTTGGATAAAAATAAAATAGTTCAAAAGTGTGTTCATGTCGATTTGGGAATGTAACCAACTAAACGGAAGTTTAATTAAGATAAAACCGTTTTTTTACAATAAAACATGATCATTATTCATTGCACAACCGTATTTGGTAAAAATATTGATAATTAGACATATTCAACGCTTCTTATATAGGTGAATGTGACTTCAAAATTGAGATGGTTCGTAAACATTTAAAGAACTTAAAAGCGAGGAAAACGCCTTTCATTATGAATATACCAATATGGCAATACATTTTCGCATTATCAGCATGCATTTCAGTTGATGAGATGAACGGCTAATAAGCTTCCTGAAGCCATTAAGCAGCATTGAATTAGAGAAAAAGATTCGATGCAGTCTCATTTAAGAATGTTTATAAAATGTGATTGAGAACTGCTTTTAGCGACAATTGATTTTATAATCGGGCACGTTTTTCCATGAAGTGAATATTTTACAACGGCGTCCAGGGTCTTTTTCACGTCATAAATCTGAAGCTTCGTGCCATCCACGCCGTTCCATAAGCCAAGATCTTGACAATGATTAGAGTCTGTCATGCAAGCACGCAACTCGGGAGGCGCCGCTGGATTTTAACACCGTGAGCGGAAACAATGGCGAGGATGTAGCTAGGGGCTGGGCGGTGTTGGCAAGCCCATGTCCCCATCACTGGTTCGTGCCTGGATTCTCATCAAACAACAGGGCTATTAATGTGATGAATAATTTAGCACGTGGTCATGCCAGCTGACAGGTAATTTGCGCATTTGCTTAGAATGTATCGAAGCATAACAGCACAAGGGTTTCCTTCTGGTATAAATGGGCTGTGCGAAACATTTGCTCCTCGTTTTAGGCGTCACCGTAACCTAGACATACCTGACACCCGCCTTAGATAGCAACCCGCCTATATGTACACCAACTCTAAAACACAAACTAATAAGATAGGCTCAAGCTCCGGTGTTGTCAGTCTTCATACGTCACAGCACGCATTAGGTCCCAGGTTCGAGAGACACCTGGCGGCCGGAGTCGGAAATGTATGTCTTGCGGCACAGCATGACTACGGCGCTGACGTCGAGAGACATCTAGCGGGAAATACACAAACTACAGCGGACGGGACGAGTTCGATACGACGTTTCTGTCTGATACCAACAAAAACAAATAAAACGGACGACGAAAAGTGCAGTTTTTGTGCTCATATAGCCTGCATGACTGGAAGAGAGGGAAATGGCAAAGGAATCGTGCCATTTAAGTGTTTTTAGGGTTATAGGTAAATGCACATTTTGCTTTGAACAGTGCGATTAAGCCGTGTCGACAAATTGCATCGGTTTACTTCAAACAACCTTTGACAGAAATTTATATCTATAATGATTGCTGACATTTAAGTCGTACTATGGTTCGGTATCGAGCAGTGTGACCTAAAATGTGCGCAGAATCACTTACCGATAACGGTGAGGTTGACGCGGTGATACTTGGTGGGCGTCAGTTTGAAGTCCACCCGACATCGGTACTCCCCAGCGTCGGCCTCTCTGACGTCATCGATGGCCAGCACCGGTGGAGACGTGTTCACCAGAAACTCGGCGTTCCGGTTGGCCAGAATAAAGTTGTCCTTCCATTGGACGCCGTCACTCAGTGAACCTTGACGCGCGTCAAAACTGTGGGCAAACAAATAACATCACGAATGAAAAATCACAAACATTGGTCCAGTTTTAACAGACCCATTCAGGAAGAAAATATCGGTCTTGGAAAGGAAACGAAAACGGAAAGAAAGGCATAAAACAAAAAGCACGAAACAGAACAGACGCCTCACTAAAAGAAGCGAAACAATCAGCTAACCTTGTCATTGTACATTGGATATAAACCTTTTTGTACAATCCGCACTGGACGGATTATCCCACGGCCTTCTTGACCACCGACCCGCGAACCACTCACTGATCGTCCGAGCGCCGTGACGATATCTCGACACCGTGCCACCGAGCAGAGCCATGAGCTGTGAACTCGGCGCCTACCCGCTCATCTCAGAGTTAATAATTTACATAAAACGGCCCTAGCCTCGTCCGAACAGCGCTGTAGGACGCCTCGTCAGCTCAGCCACTTCGGTGGGGCGGCGCCGATTTAGATTAACCCGCGCCCCGTAGGGGGGGGGCCGAAACGGCCCCCCCCCTGTCCTTTTCGGTCGATATCTCCTAAACGGCTGGAGATATCGCCACCAAACTTTCAGGACCCCTCCGGGCATCAATTTTACACATTGTGACCAAAAAATTTTCCAGAGGCTGTGATAGGTTGGCCACAAATGACGTCAGAGTGACGTCATGTTCTGTCATTTTCGACCGAAAAAAGACCTTCGCGAGAAGACCTGTCAGGCCTACAGCTTTGAAGATACAGAAAAATGACCAGGACATAAAAGGTGTAGAATTGACAGGGCTACAAAACTGCTATCTCGGATTTTTGAAATTTTTGAGTTTTGATCCCCAAAAATCAAAAAAGCATTTTTTTGGATATATTAGCCAACAAATCCAAAAAGTTTTTTGAGTTTCGAAAAAAACGGAATATATGTGATAGTACCTACCGTCTTCTATCTACATACCAAATTTCAGATCGATACCTCGTTTTTTGGCCAAGTTATAGCGAAAAAACTGTTCAAAAATGATGACGTCAAATTTTCAAACTCAATTTTTGGCAATTCTAGAACTCGTAGAGCAAAACAAAGACCACCATTAGACTCCCCGTGACAAGCTGCATCGAATGGATACCCATTTTATGCAAAAATATCAACTTTGAAATTTGACCTAATTTGACCTGACCTTGACCTGACCTTCACCAAAACGTGACCTAGGCTGGCCCCAAAGGCTGCCTAACCCACATAATCGCATTTGTCATGTAAAATGGACCATAAAACATGTATCACACGACACATTCATGTTGTGACCCCCGGTGACCTGACCTCGCTGTGACCTGACCTGGTATCAGTGACCTCAGATAGCAAAGTATGTGTTTGACGAACAATATACCATCGATGGTTTTCAATAAATTACCAATTTACTCGATTTCACAGCACATTTCTTGAATTGCCTGTGAACGGTGAAAATCTGACCTTTGACCTGACCTGTGACGTCATCGGTTTGACCTAGGTCAATGAAATTTGGTCACAAGGTAGTTCCCGGGTAGGGCTATCAAACGCCGTTTGAATTTTGAAAATCGGCCGGTAACTTTCCGAGATCTTAGGGGGGGCCGAAACGGCCCCCCCTCTACGGGTGGTAGGGTCCGCCGGTAGCCCTACGGGGCGCGGGTTAAGTGGATGCTCAATCCTTGCCCGTTTCCGCGCGCACACGCGATTGAAGCTCCTTCACTGCGAGACCAGTGAAACGAATAGGACGTATCCTGGTAGGATGCCGCTGAACGACGTAGTAGTGCCGACTACAGTGTCATTGATATTTCAGCTTGGAAATTGGCGACAGGACAATCGAATGCAGGACTTTCAATGACAACCCAACTATGAAAGGCTAAAAATGTATGAACACATTTAACAAGAGCCGTTTTCACGACGGCCATCTGGTACACATTTGGTGCACATCTGGTACAGATTAGGTGCAGATCTGGTCAAATCAGGTTCAGTGTGTCTCTTAGCAGCTATCAGCTAGGGTTGCACTAATTGCTTATATGCCTGCTTTGTCATATTATCAGAGAGCATCATCGATTAAAACACTGAAATAAATTCATAAAATGAAGATATTTGCTTTAAAAGAAATTAGGTGCAGATTTGGTCAAATCAGGTACATTTGCCGGATACCCCGTCGTGAAAACGGCTATTAGCTGCGTTGATTTTTTTTGCATTTTTTATTATTGCTGCAATTGTAACACAAACAGAAAGTCTGATAGACAATGTTTATATAATTTCCGTATCGAAAGAAAGAAGATGATCCCACAAAACATCGGCTCGCATCACAAGTCGCATTTAAAACTCTATAAAAAATCGGCTATTGCATGGAAAGTCCAATGAACTATGTGGTGTGCACTGTGCATGTGTGCTTAATCTGGTAATCAATCAATTCATATGCATTATGCATAGGTGTACATACATGCTGCGGTGCAGCCATTGCGTTTCATTACTAAATTGCATGCAGTCCATACCGGGTGGCCCAGAAAAAACGTTCCGAACTTTGGAGGCCTATATATCAAATTCGAGTGCAAATAACGAGACAAAATTTTCAGCAAGTTTGCGTCATTTCTTTGCGCATTTGTATGCTAAATTATAACACTACCATCTATTTCAAGTTGGCAATCTTGAGTTGAATTAAGCAAGACGTTTTTGCTTTTTTTGCCGATGTCAAACGATAGTGATGATTGAGTTAGACGCCCCATGTTATAAAATAGAATAGAAAAATAGAGCATGTGAATGAAACCAACACGTATGTTCTTATTTTAAATATTTGTGTCTCACTTATGTGCCAAATATTCAAATACTGAGCCAAAATGGTGCTCATGGATGCCATTCGTTTTAACACCAAATCATGATTCGTGGCACGGTGCATGGATTACTGCTGATTACCCTCCTTTCAGTAGATCAAACAGTAAATCGACCGGATAAGGAAAACAAACTAAAACAGACTAGTTCCTGTGCCAGAAGACCACATAACATTTTATGAAAAACAACATTGCCAGCAGATGACAAAAAAGAAAACTGGTTGAAAAGCTACCTTTTCCCAGGAATGTCAGCCAGGAAAGCATTTGAGCCACAAGATGGTTAGAAAACTGGAAACTTCTTCCGATGCCACTGGCACAGAGCCATCGTGGTTGCCTGATGGAATGTGTCATCCTGAGACCCGAACCATCAATGAGACTAGCTGCCAGTAGCAGCCATGGCTCTAGGCCGTGGTGCCGAGGGGTGAAAGTGACCTGTTCACTCACATTTTTGAGTAAACATCGGAGCAAAAAAGTAATTTTTACATGGCATGCTTGAAACACGAACCGTTTAAAAAGTAATTTACCGAACACCATGAAAATCACACCATTTACTGAAAATGTGTGTCGCATTGACTATTCGAAGTTTCAATGTTGTATCTTTATCACTTTCTGAGAAATATTGATTTAAAGTTGGGAACGTTTTTTCTGGGCCACCCGGTATATACCTATGAATGTGCTTAGACATCTCGAACGGTCCATTTTTCGAGATATCTCTCACATTTCCAGTTCGTGCGCTGTCATTACTTATATTTACCAGGATCGCTATGCTTACGCCATTCTCCAAGTTTGCATCTTCCGCTGTTCAACTTTGCAGATGCCAGGCTTACAAAAAGGCAACACTATGAAAAGTACGAAAGTATTTTCCGCATTTATCTAGCCATCTAAGACCATAACATACAACTCAAAAGAATATCCAAACATGACCCGATTTTTCCGACCCTCTGGCCCCGAATTCCATTCAGTGTTATACAGGCCACACTGCTCCCTGCTCCATCCCTGGCCCAGCCGGACCGCAGGCTGCAGCGGCAGCGGGCAGCTGACGGATGGGCCCATTGCCAGCAGAAAGCCGCCATAAACTTGTGTGCGATTCATAAAGCGTTATGAATCGTCTTCAGAGCCGCGTCAATATTCCATTGTTAATTAGGCCAGTTAATGGCCCTTTCACTGCTGAGTGGTCGCTGTGTATTGTCGAGAGGGCCAGATCGATGTGCCACGGCTGGCTTATGTCAGTGGCCAGACGTAGTGAAGCCAAACGGTGCATCTTGACAGTGTTTGCTCTAATGGCATTCATTACTCCATGTCAACACCTTCTATGCTGATGCAACAAAGGCTCATGGGTTTACAGCGTTAATCTTGTCACTTGTCAATGCCGTGCTGTTTATGGTAGCTGAGCAGGAAACAATGGTTGTTTGCTGTTGCTTTGAAGTGATCAACAAATAATTTAGTGGATAGATTAAAGCAATACATTGAATAATTTGCACCAAAACGTGTACATCCTCTGTTACTAGCACTTACAAAATATGTGCAGAAATTAGTGCAGTTGTACGAGTATGTGTACTTTTTTGCTCAGCTTTCTACCCCAGTCACCTTCCAATCAACATGCTAGAATCTATGCATATGAGCTAAATATGTGCACTTGCTTTTTACAGGCGCACCCCAGCGCGTTTCTTCTCACCTATGAATGGGCGCGCCGGCGTTGTCCCTATACCAGAGGACGAGGTCAGGTCGGTCGCCAGGCTTCTCCGAGGTCAGACTGCAGGGCAGGTTCGCTCTGCCGCCCACCACCGCCGAGGTGAGCACCACAGCACCTGCAGAAAACAGAACAGTTGTTAGTGGTCTCTTAGGATCCCTGCTCGTAGCTGAGCGCATTGCTTGTTGAAAGAAGGAAAGAGATATTATATTAGACAGATACGCCCACTTACTACAGTGTTTTCTTGCAAAAGAAGTCGATACCTATAAAAAAGCTTTATAACGACATATGACTACAATGCAGAGACCCGATATCAAGTGGTTCACCACAGACCAGCCGTGTACCAATCGGCTCTCCGATATCACAATGAAGCACAGACTGTTCGTTGTAACGACTGGGCATCCACTGCAGCAGACTCCCACCATAATGCCACCTCAGCGTCGCTCGGTTTCTTACACAAGGCTCACTTATAAGTAGCCTTTTTTGCAGGATCTGGGAAGTTGTCTTTGAACATCTGAGTGCCTTATATGTGGGCTTATGTATTTACTTCACTCATAAAATATGTGTACCTAACTGTGTGCAAGCTCTACCGATCTCAGGAGAAAATAAACAGCATAAAGCTGAAGTCCAAGGAATGGTGCTCGCTTCAATATCATGTTATGTGAGGAAAATGCAGGTGTTGCAATTGTAAGAAAAAATACTGCCTTGGTAACCGAGTAAACGATCGCAGTCAGCTGATTTCACGCCGAAATAGCACATGTCTGACTTGGAATTAACAAAATGCCTGCGTCCATATATGCACATGTATTTCTTAGTGTTGCATGAGGCACAGTCGAATGCCGACACATTTAAAGCGCCGTGAACACGGAACAATCTCACCAATAAAGCCCTGGAAAATCCTTCAAGCGTTGCGACGAAAGCCCATTTCACAGGAGTGTCTAAGCGGCAGTCGATCATTACCGTTCACCATAACAGCGGTGTGCCGTTTCACGGGTCCATACTGGAGTGATTATGTCCGTCTTTATTTACCTCAGAAAGGCAGTGAGCGGAGCTTTCATACCGGTTTCATGGCGGCTCAGCGGGTTCTGCGAATGTCCCCGACAGCCAGAGCGGCTGCGAAGTGACCCCTGCACGCGACCAAAGTCGGACGCCGGGTGACAAAGTCGGACGAAAACTAGTCACGAACTCAACGCAACTTGCAGACCACGGCTAGGCTTCCACTGAAAAGGCGTCATTTATTTTCAGAGTCTCTCTGAAACCCCACCTTACACAACGAAAATCACAGCTCTTCACGATCATCCATTTCACCACTGTACTTTAAACTTGGTGTGCGTGTAGTTGTCGATCACTTGCTCGCCCACCGGCACCGTTCGTGCCACAGTGTCATGATGGGACCGCGGCACCGGCAGCCCAGGTAGCACCTCATTCACCGATCTGACCGCGGCGTGACGGGGGCCTGTCGCGTGTCCTATTGCGGCCAGTCGATCCGCAGAGCTCAGCCGAGCAGACACAACGGCGAAAATCGGCCCCAGGCCAGGCGATGCTGTGAGTTGTGACAGGGCGGTGTGGACGCACACCACTGATACAGATAGGTTTCTGTTTGATTTCAGCTTTGAGGTCAGTATATTATTATGCGATAGGCGTTATCACAAGTGTATTCGCGGCCATTGGGGCGACGTAAGAAAAGAAGAAACCAACTGGCCCCAAGAACTTTAAATTATCAGTTAGCATGCACCTTTTCCTTGATGTGTAGAGAATTTACCATTATTTGTTACAGAAAATTGCATTTAAAATCTTCCATTTATGCTTTTTTCATCGTTTGCACAATATGTTCTTTTACTAAGCTAGAAACACTAATTAGAAATAGTTCCCGCATCATCAAGAACAATAGGGAAGGCTTGAAGTGAATAAAATAATTTAAACGGTTTTGTAATCTATGTGAAGGCACTTCTAAAATTGCCTGTAGAAATATTGAAGGCAAAAGTTCAACTTTCTCACAAGACGGATGTCTATAAACCTATTTAACTTGTGACAACTCAGCCGGTATTTCGTCGCCTACAGCCCAGCTTTCCCTAGTGACCGATAGAGGCGCTGCTATCGATGTCCGCCCGTGCCGCCTAACGGACCTGTCGAGTTGTGTTCGATAATTTTCCAAACGGGGATAAATTTTCCCTAGAATGACCTATATTTGCTTGACTTCGAGGCGAAATTGAAATAGCGACAAAACTTTCTGGCCAGGAACGGTTTCGGGGTTTGACAATAGCTTTGGAACATGATTGGTTCGTGCTATGTCACCTTTAATTTCCGGGGTCATTTCTTTTCCGCCTATGGGGCCCGGAGACACACAGTAGTTTGTCTTGTTCAAGTGAGCTATTATATTGTGTTAGGAAACACTAGTCACACACAAAGTTTGCTCAACTGCACACACTGACACTCCTCAATACCGTCTAATGTCTATTCGTCTTTGCACCGCATGTAGACCCAATTAGCGAAACGCGCAAACATCGGGTGCTGCCATTTTACATAACACCACGTCCTCCACTCCATCGGTATTCGGTATTCTGTTTCGGCGCCGATGACTAACGCCTACCGCGTCCTCGGGGACTATTTGACCTCACTCGGCCAGGAGGAGCACGGCTCGTCACAGCGCGTCACAATCGATACGGCCGGCCGCGCAGTGCCGCCAATGTCGTGCTGGCGGCGGCGTTAAGCACAGCGATGGCCGTTCGGGGCGCGATGTCCTATCCAAACGCGACACGGTGAATCGTCCGCGGCCGACACGGCGATGTGGTGTGAATTAGGTACCATCAGGCTGTTCGGGAAGGCGTAACGAGCTGGCCGGAACGGAGCCGCCGCGCAACAAACGCCATACACCGCAGCTTGTTGATGAACGGTGCCAGGGCCAGGGCCCATACGACAGAACATTGAGTTGATTTATCCACGTGGTCTGATCGAAAATCAATCCCGCGATTGGAGTCCACTTCTGTTCAATAACAACTTTTACGATAATGGACTGGTGAGACGTATTATTTATTTATCGAGATAAATGACGTGGAAGATTGATTTTCCATGTGGGAGCATTTACGATAATTACGGTTAATATCTGAATTACATGTGAACAAACATGAGGCTTTAGGAATGATTACACACAGCAGGCGAAAAATACAATTGAATGAGTGGTGATCAATCTACGTTATAAATACAAGTTAAATGGTTATATTTCCTAAAGATATTAGCACATTACAATAAAAATTCACTGCTATTTTTGTTCTTTTACCAGGAATCACTGGCTATCGTCGTTGACTCGTTGCCGCGTACGGCTCTGCTGCGCGTGTGGCTCCGTTGCCGCGTATGGCCCCCGCTGGCACCTCCACTAACGACCCTTCCCCGGCGGCCGACGTCTCCGGTGACGGCTGACCTCGCACCATGTCACGTGTTCCGGGCCGCTGTGACGGCGTCCGGCGAGCGCCCAGACCAATAATGAGGACGTCCTACCGTCACCCCCGCCCCTCTGCCCCCCCTCCTCCGCCCCTCTGCCGCCCCTCTGCCTACGCAGACAGACAACGGCGCTCGAAATGCGATATACCAGATCCATCTGGCAAAGCCAGGGACGTCGAGGCTTAGCGAAGAGAAACGGGAATCTGCCGAGCGTCTGAAACTAGTTAATTGTATCTGTCGTCGGCGCGGTGGGTTTTGTGGACAAGTTCTGAAGTTCTTCAGACGTTATCAATGCTGCCAATCTTGTAGGAGTAGAGGTGCTCGAGGAACTGAACTAATCGCAGTATTCGGATAAAATCAGTCCATCTATTGGAGCTGAGATCCAGGCCTGAAAAAAATCAGTTGCCTCTGTTCTAGGTGCTCAATAAATGTCACTGAGAGCATTTCCGGTAGGCATGCAAAGAAATGACAAGACGTCTGGGAGGTTCCGCTCTAAGTACCAGCTTCCGTTAAGATGATCAGTCCACGCAATTCACGCTCGCTTGTTCCAAAACATGTGTGTAGAAAATTGCATATTTTTACGCTTTCTTGTTGACGTTTCCTAGTTACATTATCAAATGTTTGTAATGAAGTGACCAAGGTTTTTAAGAAATAAGCCAGTTAATTTGAAAATAACGTCATGCGACTTACAGGTGATGAGATTAAGGACACTCTGAACCAGGCGTTAGGTTATTTACAGGGCAGTGCGTTGGCCATGCAGTTAGCTGTCACCGCCAAGTGCAGGTCCCACAACGATTAGCGCGCCAAGGACTGCTTTTGTTCCGCCACTCGTATCTCCGCTCGTAAAGCCAGAACTGCAATGCGGCCTCGGCGCGGTGTCGGAGCCAGCCCAGGTCAGGCGCGTTACGGACGGCTATATTTGAATTCCAGGCTGGTGCGAGGGTTCGTGTGGACGGACCATGACCTAACTGCGCCTCTAAAATGCCACTTGCTTCCGGCAACGATACATAAATTGGAAATAATAGTCTTGTAGCTTGCATGACTTGCTTATTCTAGGAGCTATTTAGCGAAAATAAAAATGATTCACAGGTATCGATCGGTAGTTTGCAGCATTTGGTGGTGCAGTCAGCAGAATTTGCATTTAAGGTTTCACAAAAGGGTAACACAATACTCATAGTTTGGCCTTGGATGTTATGCACTCGTGTGCTGCATCGTGCTATTTTCTAGCAGAAAAAAATAGAGCGAATAACAAAGAACAAAGTGCAGCAAGGCAGACAACTCAATTTCCCCGCACAACTCATGGAGCGCGCCTGTTTTTTGGCAGCCGACAAGACCGCCCCGCTCCCGGTCTGTGCGGTGCGTCTGGCCGAGTATTCTCGTCTGCGGTTCCCAGTATACCGCGACATGAGCGCGGCCCGCCGCGGAGTGCTGTGCGCTGCCAGCCACGTGCGGTATGCCCGCCCCTGGGTCACGGCCCTGGCGCGGCGCCCACGGCGTTCCCAGCGCACGGCGTCGCCATTAGAGGCACCGACACTTCTTGGAAACTCCGGATGATTGGTAATTGGGAAAACACCCGGTCAAAGCTGGCGTCGGGTGAGTGGGAGGGTACGTGAGCCGGCCACCGGTGGGAGGCGCATCGGGTGGCGCGGGAGACGAGATGGGCTGTGACAGCTACCGACT